AGAAAACATCTGAAAGCTTCCAAAATGCATTCAGGGACTACTTTCCCCCTTTCATAAGCCTCCAACTTTGTTTTGACTTCCCTTTTGGTAGCTGGTCAAGTAGATTTGTCTGCTGTCCCCTTTCCTTCGTTTCCTCCTAGCATATCCGTGCATGCCAAGTGAGGGGTCCTGGAGGCAGCTGCTTTTTGCCTTTCCAGTTATAGACGGACACACATGGTTGTTATAAGATCAGAAAAAACAGAATCCCATTCTCTCACAGCTCCATCTTTATTGTCTTTTTTAAATTAAAGATACGCTGTTATAACCTGGCATCAAAACCCTGGGTTTCCACAGCCCTCCCTCACCATCCGACCAATGCTGATGCTGCTAAAAACATTCCAACTAAACAGAAGAAAAGGAAGAACAGGAAGACTGGAGAAATCTAAAAATAATTTGTAAAAATAAGCTTCTACGTTAGTGGGAAGCTTGTAATTTGACTTTTTTTCCATTTAGTGTTTCAATTATTTACTGGGTTGTTATGAGTTTTCTGGGCTGTGTGGTCATGTTCCAGAAGCATTCTCTCCTGACGTTTCATCCACATCTATGGCAGGCATCCTCAGAGGTTGTGAGGTCTATTGGAAACTAAGTAAGTGGGGTTTATATATGTGAAATATCCAAGGTGGGAGAAAGAACTCTTGTCTGTTGGAGGCAAGTGTGAATGTTGCAACTGGCAATCTTGATTAGCATTGAATAACCTTGCAGCTTTAAAGCCTGGCTGCTTCCTGCCTATAGGAATCCTTTGATGGGAGGTGTTACCTAGAGCTGATTGTTTCATGTCTCAAAAACAGGGGAATTCCAGACAAGAAACCATGAGGATGCCTGCCACAGATGTGGACAAAATGTCAGGAAAGAAGGCTTCTGGAACATGGCCATACAGCCCAGAAAACTCACAGCAACCCTGTGATTCCAGCCTTTGACAACAAAATGATTTACTGTTTGCCACTTCAACTCACAAGTGGTAAATGGCACCACAATTATTTGAGAGGATCCCAACACTAAATTCCAATGTAATTAATATTAACAGTGTAAAGATGGATTGCTTTCCTTTTTTTTTTTGTTACCAAACACAGGTGGTTTTTTTTCCATGTCAGTAATGACTTGAAAAATGGCAAGTCGCTTCTGGCGTGAGAGAATTGCTGTCTGCAAGGACATTGCCCAGGAGATGCCCGGATGTTTTACCATCCTTGTGGGAGGCTTCTCTCATGTCCCCGCATAAGAAGCTGGAGCTGACAGATGGAAGCTCAACCCGCTCCCTGGATTTAAATCATCGACCTTTTGGTCACCAGTCCTACCAGCACAAGGGTTTAATGCATTGTGCCATTGGGGACTCCTACTATTCGCCCCAGCTTCTGCCAACCTAGCAGTTCGAAAACATGTAAATGTGAGTATATCAATAGGTACTGCTCCAGCGGGAAGGTAGAAGCACTCCATGCAGTCATGCCGGCCACATGACCTTGGGAGTGTCTATGGACAAAGCCGGCTCTTTGGCTTAGAAATGGAGATGAGCACCAACCCCCAGAGTTGGACATTACTGGACTTAAAACCTTTACCTTTACAGCTACATTCTTCCCCCCTCCCTTTTATGACAAAAGAGATAACATGGATATTTTTTAAAAAATCAGGCATAATATGCATCAGAGTATATGCATATCAAAGCCTAGAAGAAGCCAGAATAAGTGTCTTCTTGCTAGTATTTTCTACAAGACCTGTAATTGTTTCCTTTTGCTTGCAATTGTATCCTTGGCTTCCTAATATTCCATCATGTTTCCTTTTTTCATACACTGCCACCTGCTGCATGCCTGCAAATCAAACACTAAGGGTGCAACTACACTATGGAATTAATGCAATTTGGCATCTCTTTAACGATGGAGGGTTAATGCTCTGGAATCCTGGGATCTGTAGTTTGGTTTAATTTTTATTTTGTATCAAAAGCATTGCATAAATTAGTATAAAACTCATAAAAATAGAAGGAGGGCAAGTGGCTAAATGTCTTTTGACCAAAAACGGACAGCAGCAACCACATAATCTGTAGCCTCCAACAATTTTTCCACTGTATATGAGGCAGGGCATAGTAGACAAGCATACAGATGCAGAATTGTCTGTTCTGCTCCAGTCTCACAAGGTGGGGGTTTCTTCTTGGTAGTGCCATTTTGCCAGGTTGTCTTTTGATCTGCTCACTCCAATTCTGAGTCTGTTCAGGGACTTCCAAGCTGCCCATTCTTGGTTTGCCCCTGGAGGAAAACCCTCGTGGGGGGCCATCCATTTGAGATTTCCTGGTTAAGCTGCCCAGGGGGGTACTCTTGGAGTTTGGTGAGAACACTAAAGACCTTGTAAAATGACAAACTCAGGATTCCATCAAATTGAGCCATGGTTGTTAAAGTGGAGTCAAACCACATTAATTCTACAGTGTAGATGGCCCGTATGCTGAACATACTTTTGAATCACTTTTGAATGTTGGCCTCTGGAAGGCAGAGTTCAAATCCTTTGGGTGCATCTATACTAAAGAATGAATCAGTTTTACCCCATTTTAACTGCCATGGCTCAATCCTGTGAAACGGTGTGAGTTACAGTTTTACAAGACCTTTAGCCTTCTCTGGTGCATCACAAATTATAATTCCCATAATTCCATGGCACTGATCAATGGCAGTTAAAATAATATCAAAATTGCACTAATACTACATTGCAGATGTCCCTTAAGTCTTCCTCCGAGGTTGAGAATGTGCTGCCTTGCCCAGTGGGTCTTATGGTCCTACAGGATTCATTGTGGTTGAATTCTAAGATTTGTTGTTTGACCACTTACTACAATGCAGTCTGAGCCCTGCCACATGCATAATTGACTTCCTTATAGCAATACCAGAGGCACTCCAAGTCAAAGGGCATTTAATATAATTGCCAAGTTTTAAAACTTCGTGTTTTTTAATACATTACAACAGTGCCCTCGGTTCACTCCTGAGACAATAAATAAATAAAGGTCTCAGAGTTAGGAAGTTCTTCCTCATGTTCAGGTGGAATCTCCTTTCCTGTAGTTTGAAATCATTGTTCTGCATCCTACTACTTCATCAAAGTAGAGTAGTGGTTCTTAACTTTCCTAATGCCGCGACCCCTTAATACAGTTCCTCATGTTGTGATGACCCCCCCCCCCAACCAAAACATTATTTTCGTTGCTACTTCATAACTGTAATTTTGCTACAGTTAGGGAAAAGTTTAGGGTTGAGGTTAGGTTTAGGGTTAGAGTTTAGGCCTAGGAAAAGGTTTAGGGTAAGGTAGGGTAAAGTTAGATTAGGGTTAGGGGTTAGGCTTAGCGATTAGGTTTAGGGTAAGATAGAGTAAGGGTTAGGGTTAGGGAAAGGTTTAGGACAGGGGTCCTCAAACTAAGGCCCGGGGGCTAGATACGGCCCTCCAAGGTCATTTACCTGGTCCTCACTCAGGGTCAACCTAAGTCTGAAATTACTTGAAAGCACACAACAACAACAACAACAACAACAACAACAATCCTATCTCATCAGCCAAATGAAGGCCCACACTTCCCATTGAAATACTAATAAGTTTGTATTTGTTAAAATTGTCTTTCATTTTAATTATTGTATTGTTTTTAAAGTGGGTTTTTTTGCACTACAAATAAGGTATGTGCAGTGTGCATAGGAATTCATTCAGGTTTTTTTCAAATTCTAATCTGGCCCTCCAACAGTTTGAGAGACTGTGACCTGGCCCTCTGTTTGAAAAGTTTGAGGACCCCTGGTTTAGGATAAGGGTTCGGGTTAGGGTTTAACCATTAAAGAACTCTTATGTTCCTGCTATAATATCTGTGTCCTGCTTGGCTTACATTACCTCTCCCTAAAACACAGACATGCGCCTTTCACCTTAAGAACAGACAAGCATCCCGAGCTCTGAGGATTACCTGGGAAGGAATCCCACTGGAGCATTGCAGCGCACCCAAATACCTGGGAGTCACTCTGGACCGTGCTCTGACCTACAAGAAGCACTGCCTGAACATCAAGCAAAAAGTGGGCGCTAGAAACAATATCATACGAAAGCTGACTGGCACAACCTGGGGATCACAACCAGACACAGTGAAGACATCTGCCCTTGCGCTATGCTACTCTGCTGCTGAGTATGCATGCCCAGTGTGGAACACATCTCACCACACTAAAACAGTGATGTGGCTCTTAATGAGACATGCCGCATTATCACGGGGTGTCTGCGCCCTACACCACTGGAGAAATTACACTGCTTAGCCGGTATTGCACCACCTGACATCCGCCGGGAAGTAGCAGCCAAGAGTGAAAGGACCAAGGCAGAGACATCTCCAGCTCATCCCCTGTTTGGGTATCAGCCAGCACGTCAACGACTTAAATCAAGACATAGTTTTCTTAGATCTACAGAGACACTCGCTGGAACACCCCAGCAAGCGAGAGTCCAAAAGTGGCAGGCCCAAACCCAGCACCTCAATTCATGGGTGATACCAGATGAGAGACTCCCCCCTGGGCACTCAGAAGACTGGGCGACTTGGAAGGCGCTGAACAGACTGCGCTCTGGCACCACGAGATGCAGAGCCAATCTTAAGAAATGGGGCTACAGGGTGGAATCCTCGGCATGCGAGTGCGGAGAAGAACAAACCACTGACCACCTGCTGCAATGCACGCTGAGCCCTGCCACATGCACGATGGAGGACCTTCTTGCGGCAACCCCAGAGGCACTCCAAGTGGCCAGATACTGGTCAAAGGACATTTAACCAAATACCAAATTTGCAAAATCTGTGTGTTTTTTTCCTTTTTTTCTTTTTAATCTCTGTGTTTGTTTTGCTCTGTTAGAATTGTAATACAATGGTTGCTGATGACACGATAAATAAAAAATAAATAACCTCTCCCTCCGCCCCCATGTCTCGGTCACGTGTTCCGTTCTGCGTTGCGCAAACAGCAGTCCGAAGGACCGAAGCGGAAACAGCGTAAGGTTCGGAGTTTCCGGACCCAGCTATCATACTATCACCGGACATCTGTCAGGGGTACTTCGAAGGCGATTGTCCTGCTTCTGGGCAGGGTGTTGTTGGACTGAGTGGCCCACGAGGAGTCTTCCAAGTGTCTGGTTCTATGATTGGCTACGTCGTTTGCGTTCCCCTGCCGCTTCGCTCCGCCCAAATCCGTCTCTGGGCGCGAGAGGCTCCTCCCCCGGCCCGCTTCACGTGGCTCTCCCCCGGCAGCTGAGCCTCGCAGGCGCCGGAGAGCCATGGAGGGAGCCTGGCTGCAGCTGCAGGCTCGGCTCCGGCCCAGCGCTTGGGCGCTTCTCTCCTCCTTTTGCTGCCGCCGCTCTCCTCCCCTTTTGCGGCGCCTTCAGCTCCAGGAGAGGCGCTCCTCGAAGGGCTTCTGCACGGGGGTCTCTTGGGCCAGGAGGAGAGCCCAAGCCGGGCTGCGCGCACGTAAGGCAGGCGGATCAGGCACAAGGGGACCCGTGGGTGCATCTACACTGCAGGATGGCTGCAAATTGGGCTCGCCTTTGAACTGCCATGGCTCCAGGCTATATTATTATGAGAGTTGTAGTTTTGCAAGAACTGGTGCCTCCCCAAACGACAACTCCCAAACTACAACTTACAGGCAGGCCCCAAGTTATGAACAAGATAGGTTCTTCTCTTACCATTTTGCATATACAGGCAGTCCCCAAGATGCGAACAAAGGCTTTCATGGCCGGAATCACCGGGTTGCTGTGAGTTTTCCGGGCTGTGGGACCATGTCCCAGAAGCACTCTTTCCAAACCGTTCGCCCACATCTATGACAGGCATCCTCAGAGGCTTTGAAGCTGCAAGGCCATTCAGTTAATAAAGAGCAACACTCAAAAAGCAGGAATTCCAGACAAGAATCAATCTGGCTAGCTAACGCTTCCAAACAAAGAATTCCCCCAGGCAGGAAGCAGCCAGGCTTTGAAGCTGCAAAGCTATTCAGTGGTAACCAACATGAGCAGTTTCAATATTCACACTTGCCTCATGCAGACGAGTTCTTTCTCTTACCCTGGACATCCCACAGATATATAAATCTCACTTGCCTAGTTTCCAACAGACCTCACAACTTCTGAGGATGCCTGCCATAGATGTGGGCAAAATGTCAGGAGAGAATGCTTCCGGAATATGGCCATACAGCTCAGAAAACTCACAGTAACCCAAGAATTTGTTTCAGAGAACCCTGCTGTGAGCGGCTAGAGGTTTCAATGGTATTCAGTTGCAATTTATTGATTTGTTATATATTTGTTATATATGGTTTATGTAGTGTGAAATTTGTGTATTTGGTTCGTGCCCCACCTATCTTTGCGATCGCATCTCCCTCTATGAACCAGTGCGGACGCTAAGATCTTCCGGGGAGGCCCTCCTTTCGCTCCCACCACCGTCACAAGCACAGTTGGTGGGGACGAGAGAAAGGGCCTTTTTGGTGGTGGCCCCCCACCTCTGAAACGCCCTTCCTAGAGAAATAAGACAGGCCCCATCCCTCCCCTCCTTTTGTAAGTGCCTGAAGACCTGGTGGTTTAAACAAACCTTTGAAAACGACTAGTTCTAGCTTAGCCCCAGATATTGTTGAAATTGTCCATATCCTTTTCTACCAATTACCCAGGTCCCTTTCTTCTATTAGGCCCTGGGAATGAACAGCCAGAGACTCTACCTAATTTCCCGGGCCCGCTACAAATTGCACTAGTCTCGGCCCGGCCTTTTACACTGCCTTGAATAGGCAGGATTATTTTAAATATATATGTGCTATTGTGATTTTTTAATGCTTATATTGTCTTGTTAATTTTATGTTTATGCTGGTTTTTTTTTTGTATGTATTGATTATGTTACTTGGAAATGGCTCTGAGTCCCTCGGGGAGATAGAGCGGTATATAAACAAAGTTTTGTTGTTGGTTTATGATGTTTTTTGTTTAAATTTATATGTTATGTAATTTCTGTTTTTAACTATTGTACACTGCTTTGAATCCCACCCATGGGATAAAAATAAACAAATAATAAACAAGATAGGTTCTGTCGAAGGCTTTCATGGCCAGAATCACTGGGTTGTTGTAGGTTTTTCGGGCTATATGGCCATGTTCTAGAGGCATTCTCTCCTGACGTTTCGCCTGCATCTATGGCATGCATCCTCAGAGGTAGTGAGGTCTGTTGGAACTGACCTCACAACCTCTGAGGATGCTTGCCATAGATGCAGTCAAATGTCAGGAGAGAATGCTTCTAGACTATGGCCACATAGCCCGAAAAAACCTACAACAACCCAAGATAGGTTCTGTGTGTTGTCGAAGGCTTTCATGGCCAGAATCACAGGGTTGCTGTGACTTTTCTGAGCTGTAGGGCCAAGTCCCAGAAGCATTCATAGAGGGAAATACGATCGTGAAGGTAGGCGGGGCCCGAACCAAATACACAAATTTCACACTACATGAACCATATATAACAAATCAATAAATTACAACAGAATACAATTAAAACCTCTGGCCACTGACAGCAGGGTTCCCTGAAACAAATTCTTGGGTTGCTGTGAGTTTTCCGAGCTGTATGGCCATGTTCCAGAAGCATTCTCTCCTGGCGTTTTGCCCACACCCATGGCAGGCATCCTCAAAGGTTGTGAAGTCTTTTGGAAACTAGGCAAGTGACGTTTATATATCTGTGGAATAATGTCCAGGGTTTGAGAAAGAACTCTTGTCTGCTTGAGGCAAGTGTGAATGTTGCAACTGGCCAGGCCTTGTGATCAACACTGTTGAATTGCTGTTTTTTAACATTATTTTATCTGCCATGGCTCAGGGCTGTAGACTCCTGAGATAGTTAGTTTGTCAGGCCCCACCACTCTTTGTCAGAGAAGGCTAAAGCCTTTGGAAAACTATAACTCCCAGGATTCCAGTGCATTAGCTCATGCATTAAAGTGGTGTCAAACCCACTTCATTCTACCAGGGATGCATCTTCATTGTAGAATTTATGAGTTTGACATTACTTTAACTGCTCAGTGCTGTGGAATCATGAGAGCTGCTGTTTGGTTAGGCGCCAGCGCTCTTTTGGCCAAGAAGTTAAAGGCTTGGCAGAACTACAACTCCTAGAATTCCAGTGCATTGACCCATGGCAGTTAAAAGTCAAGCTGCATTAATATTAATTCTATAATGTAGAGGTGACCATAGTTGCACTTTTGATGCTGAACAACATTTTGCATGCTTATATTCATACCAGTGAATGGCATTTAATAATACTCTCCCCCTCCCTCTTCTTTTTTCCAAGGGGATTTTTCTCGATGCTTGACTACAGAGGCATCTCAAGCCACTCTTGCCAGTGTGGCCCCCGTCTTTTCAGTGGTAAGTGCCCGCTGCTGTGTGGACACAGGAAAAATAACCAAAAACCTGGGCAAGAAGGATTTAGTGGAAAGTTGGTTAGTGACTGAAGGGAGAGAGAAAAAATGCAGAGGGAGGGGGGGGGGAAGAAAATATATCTGATTTGGTAGGCCTACACGGTCAATTTTAAGCAATGAATTAAAAAATTATTAGTATTGGTGTTTTAATCTTTCTTCTATGTTTTTTAAAAAGTTAAAAATATTTTAGCAATTCTATTTAGAGCTATACCAAGCAGGAGGACACTCAGTTGACAAAATAAATGAATATGTGGAAGGAAATTGGAATATAAAATTAACAAAGGAGGATAGGAAATTGTTAGAAGCTTCACTAAGAGAGGAAGAAATAGAGACAGTCATATTGAAATTGAAGAATGGAAAAGCCCCAGAGTGGGACGGATTTGGTCCAGAATACTATAAGATATTTGGGAAAAATGAATCCTGAAATTGGTAGAGCTATATAATGCAATATTAAATGGAGAAAAATCCAGAATCCTGGAATTTTTATCCATTTAATATTGCATTATATGATACTAATGATACCAATCCCAAAACCGTAATAGGGATTAAACAGAACCTGGGTCTTATACAACAGTTTCATGAATTAATCAGGACGCCAAAATATTGTCAGGACTTATAGCAAATAGAATGAATAATTGGATACACAAATATATTAACAAGGAGCAATGTGGTTTCATAAACGGAAGGCAAATGTCAAATTTAGTATTGAAATTAATAAAATTCAAATAATCTTTCTTCTATTTCTTTTAATATATGAATTTTAATGGTCTTTTGTTGTATTTGTTTATTTTAATTATGTTGTATATCCTCAAGCCATGAGATGTGTGCAATAATTCTATTACTTATGGAATCAATATAATAGCATACTATATATCCTGAGATTCTATAGCTAAAGCATTATCTAAACTAGATATATGTTCTCCAGTGACTTGCAGAAGCATTCCACCTATAAGACAATGTCTATAGTAGTAAAAGTACCTCCAGAAAAAGCGCAGAAAATTAAATGATGTAATTATTACATGATCACATTTTGTTATAGTACACCATATTGGGGATAATGGATCATCACCTGTTAGGATCACTGACTATCGGGGTATAGATCATGAACTGTTAAGATCACAATCTAATCAGGGTAGCAGAGTTTATTTGGCAATTGATGATCGCTGAGTATGTAGATATTTTGTTTTGTTTTATTTACTGATATTTAAAAATACAGGCACATTTCTTGTCAAGGGTTAAAAAAAACTTCACTGTTTCAGAGAGTTTGTATCTTGAACTTATAATCTCTAACAGTTTCTCCATAAACTTTGTTGCTTTATTCAGCTCCCTTTAATAAGAGTTTACTTTCAAACAAATCATAGGCCTCTACAGTTTCCAACTTCCAAACATGAGCTTCTGCACTCTGACAGACTTCTATACTGAAGCTCATTCAAGGCACAATATACTTCTCTAACAGTCATTCCTCAACCGACATTCCCTAACTGTCATCCTGTTTAAACCTGAACATTCTAAACTGTCACTGAGTCAGTCACGTGACCTGCAGCCCCTCCCACTGCTTTAGGTATATAGAGATAAGGAAACTGCAAACGTCAAATAAAACATATACTTCAGGATATAAAATGACACATTACAAAACAGACAAACGTCATATAGAGGAGGCTTGAGAAGGTTGCTTCCTGCAACACATCATTGTTTTATTTTTAAAATCTAATGGTGATTATTCTTTTCTTCTTTGTAGATGAAGTTTGATAAAGATGGCAATGTAAGCGCTTATGGTAAGTAGAATTCTAAACCTTTTCTTCTAAACACTTAAAAAGCGGAGCTCTTATATGCACAGCAGAACTTTTGTATTGATGCAATAGCGTCATTCCTTACAGTTTATTTGCTTACAATTTCGTTGCTGAAACCAATTTGTGTAATCATGAATCACAGTTGGTTTTTTTTACATTTTTGCAAGGGCCCTGTGCCCCCAACCTCTACAAAAGCGAGGTGCCTCCTTTATGGTTTTGAGGGTTTGTCTGTTAGTTAATTGTAGTGTATGTTCTTTACATCATGTTTTAAACTACTTTTGGACAGAAAGAAAGAAAACAGAACTATATCAGGAACTAAACCTCCAAGCACGGGATCTACGATTTCAACATCAAGTGAGCATATCACCCAGGAACAACAGGATCATCATGAGAATGGAGGTAAATTGGAATCTCCTTGTCCTTTATCTACTGGTTATGTGTGATGTTGTGTTTTGCTATTCCTGTGGAATGTTATATGTGTGTAGGAAAATGGTTTGTATTAAGTAATAGGAGTCTCCCTTATCTGAAAGGCTTGGGACCAGAAGTGCCTTGGATTTGGGGGTTTTCCAAAATGTATATTGTCTGTATTTGCAAATATGTGCATAATGGAGATGGAGTGCCTACTTAAACATAAAATTCATTTTTGTTTCATATACACTTTCTACACATAGCGTGAAGATTTTAGGCACAGTATTTTAATAGTTTGTGTATAAAACAAAATTTGTGTACATTGAACCAACAGAAAGCAAATGGGTCACTATCTCGTAATAATAATAATAATAATAATAATAATAATAATAATAATAATAATAATAATACTTTATTTATAGACTGCCCTATCTCCCCGAGGGGAGTCAGGACAGTTCACACACAAAAAAGCAAACATTCAATTCCCAGGCAAGTGCAAATACATTAAAGCAATACAGCAAATACAAATAATGACAACACTGAGCTAATTGCATAAAATAATTAAACATCAAAATAAAAAAAACAGGATATGATAATCACAACAACATAATACATTAGAAGCATAATCAACATTAAAACATCTATCATAGTAATAACAATTAAAATAAGTGAGCATTGACTGTTATAGCTGTTCTTTAAATGCACCACAATGGCCACGGGTTACAAGTAAGTCAGCCAGTATTCTAATGGCATTGATCTAAAGTGTCCTAGTCCTCTTCCTCCCCATATGCCAAAGTACAGCAGTGTGTTTTCAAGAGTTTTTTGAAAAAGAGGAGGGTAGGGCAGTTTTTATTTTTTTAGAAAGGGAGTTCCAGAGATGGAGAGTGATCACGGAGAAGGGCCCCTCTCTCATTCCCACCAACCGCACTTGTGATGAGGATGGGACCGAGAGCAGGGGCCCCTCCACTAACTGCAGTGCACAAGATGGTCTATATAGGGGGATGCGGTTCGACAAATAGCCTGGACCCAAACCGTTTAGAGATTTATAGGTAATGAATAGCATTTTGTATTTAGCTCGGAAGCAGTCCGGCAGCCATTGGAGCTGATGCAGCATGGTTCTCTCCCTGTATGGAGAGTCACTTATGTGGCGAGTTTCTGCATAAGTGATGTACTTCTATTACTATAAACTGTAAGAATTTTATTTGTGGAGATCAGTAGCATATTGATTTATCACCAAACAAAGTAACAGAGTTGAAATTACAAGAAATAGGAACAAGCAACTAAAACTATATGTATGTTTGTGTTTATGTATGTATTTAAATAAATAAATAGTTAGCAGAAAGCATGCATAGTGGAGGAATTGTGAGGTGCTACTCAAGGAGAAAAGTACACCAGTAGCTAAAGTTAAAAAAGTAATCTTTATTAAGAGAACTGCATCACTTATAGAGAAGATAAAAAGTTCCTAACACTAGCTTGTCTGACCCTATTATTATTACTGTTGTTGTTATTATTATTATTATTATTATTTGTCTTACCTGCCTCTCCTTGACTGGTAAATCCTGCCTCAAAAGCCATAACAAAATGAGATCAAATATAGTTTTTCTGGTAGAAAGGATTCCACTGAGTTGATAGCATAACTGAAAAGATCCAAAATAGCAGAATGTGCTTCTATTACAAATCATTGTCTAATTTAATTCTCTTTTCTCATGCAGTTTTTGAAGGCAGTGGTAACCTCTGAATATCTTCTCATTCTGGACTATCGCAATACAAATCTGGAAAAATGGTTGTTCCAAGAACTGGCGCCCCAGTTAGCTGGAGAAGGTCAACTAGTTACATATTCTTTACCTTTTGAATTCAGAGCAATAGAGGCGATACTACAGTATTGGGTGAGCATACTTTCACTGTAATGAGAATAACAGTTTGTTGTGGCAGGATATAAGTTATAGGCATATTAAAATACACAATTCCTGACAGTAGCTACAATAGAAAAAACAATAACAGAAGCAGGACAAGTATGATTTAAGAAAGAAAGAAATATATATGCAGAAAGTGACTGATTTGCTCCACAGTCTTACAGTTATAGTAGCTGCTTGCATATGTCTGACAATCATTCAATACAGAATCTGTATTTTCATCATGTATTACAATGAAGGCAAATTAAAATACAACCAATTTGAAATACAATCTAATTAAAAATAAAAATGAATTTTAATTAAAATGAATAAAAATTGCACAAAGGGTTTCACTTTTTTGACCACTGGTTCTCAACCTGTGGGCCCCAGATATTTTGGGCTTCAACTCCCAGAAATTCTAACAGCTGGTAAACTGGCTGGGATTTCTGGGAGTTGTAGGCCAAAACACCTGGGGACCCACAGGTTGAGAATCACTGTCTTTGACAATGTTCTGAACCCTTAATTTGTTGAATACATGGAGGACACATTTACCATTTAACCTCATCCTTTCTGATACCAAAATCATTCCTAAAGCTAATTCCAAACAGGTTTAAACAGATTTCCTTCACATTTCCTTTAATTCCGCTGATATGTATGTAAGATCTGTGCATAACTGGATAGCTGTTTGTGCCAGGGAGGTCTTGTCTACATCAGGAATTCTGGGAGTATGTGTCTGTTTCCTGCTTTTTTCAACATCCCAGGAATTCTAAGCAGATTGTTTTAATTCTTATGAAGGATCATGTTGTTATCTAGATCAGCCACCTACATGGGAGACTTCACTACCTGCAGCCTCAGATTCTTGAGACACTGGATGCTCTCGTGGACCCAAAACTTTTGTCTTTGGATAGGGGCAAAGTCCATGTCCTTTTGCAAAATGGTAAAAGGTAAGAAAGCCTTTACAGCCCCTTTTAAGAGTTAATGAATTATAAATTTCTAAGAAAACTCGATTCTTGAGCTATATAATGGCCAAACTTCACGCTGTGACACGTTCCATGCAGTACTGTACTGAGATGTATTCTAGTCCAAGTCCTAAATGGGCTTGCTTAAGTCTGCTTCCTTTGCTTGGAAAACTAACCTCTTTGTTTTGCTTTGTTTGTTTGTTTGTTTTTAATGCAATACAACTGTTTTGGTTTGCTCCTGACATGATAAATAAATAAGTGTGATGCCATAAATAGGTTACTTGTATGAAATCTAATTTAGATTGTTTCTGGACTCTGTGACAAGCATTTAATAATAGTGCAAGTGCAATTAGTATTTTAAAAATATTCATGCTGCTGACATTAATAAATTGATAGCAGTGCACCGGTTTCATTCTTCTCATTTAGCAATATTTTTGATGTTATTTGTAAATTTTATTTTAATATTATCCTTAGATATCTTAATCTTCTGTGTGTAATGCGGATTTTATTATGGTTATTTTATTTATCGCATCAGAAGTGAATTAAGGATACAGTTGTAAAGTATTTAAAAACACAAAGTTAAAAACTTAGCATTATACTAAATGTCCTTTGACCAGTAGCTGGTCACCTGGAGTGCTTCTGGTGTCGCTATAAGAAGGTCCTCCATTGTGCATGTGGCAGGGCTCAGGTTGCATTGCAGCAGGTCTGTGGTTTGCTCTTCTCCACACTCGCATGTCATGGACTCCACTTTGTAGCCCCATTTCTTAAGGTTGGTTCTGCATCTCATGGTGCCAGAGCACAGTCTGTTCAGTGCCTTCCAAATCGCCCAGTTTTCTGTGTGCCCAGGGGAGTTTCTCATCCGATATCAGCCACTAATTGAGGTTCCAGGTTTTTGCCTGCCACTTTCAGACTCTTGCTTGCTGAGGTGTTCTTGCAAGTATCTCTATAGATCTTAGAAAGCTATTTCTTGATTTTAGGAATTGGTGTGCTGGCTGATATCCGAATGGGATGGGCCGGAGATGTCACTGCCTTGGTCCTTTCATTATTGGCTGCAGGATGTCAGATGTTAGCAATACCAGCTAAACAATATAATTTCTCCATTGGTATGGGGCGAAGACATCCTGTGATAATGCGGCATGTCTCATTAAGAGCCACGTCCACTGTTTTGTCTGTGTCTCTGGTCTTACTGGCCTTACCATCTAATGTAGGGTCATTTAGCCAAACTTCTCAAGAACATTTAAATCATCAGGTAGATTTCTGTTTGGGGTGGGGTAGGGAGGGGAGTTTTCAGATAACCATTCCCCATACTACATATAGTATTTAAATTTTACATCCAGCAATGTCAGTTTTGTTCAGGTAGCAATTCCTTTATTTTGTTGGTGCACATTATGGATTTTTCACACATCTTCCCAAGCATTGGAGATACATATATTGGTGTGTTTTGTGTTGAAGGTTCTAATTCTTTGTGTCACATTTTTCTTTTATTAGTTTGTCAGAATTAGAAACCGATCTCAAAGTTTTCAAAGAGACGGTATTGGAAATCCTAGATGAAGAAGAAGTATTAGAAGAGTTGTGTCTCACTAAATGGACAGACCCTCAAGTTTTGTAAGTATGTACTCCCAGGGAAGTTCAAAGAACGTGTAGCTGATTGCTCAAATCTCACATAATTATTAGGGAAGGAGATGAAAATGGCATTGTTTACACTTTTGTAAGCAACTTAAGTCTTGTTTTTTGTAGAGGACAGACTATGCAGAATATTAAGGGATTTTAGCATTTTTTATATTAACTTGGGAGAAAGAAGTTTGTAGCATAAGCTTTTGTAGACTCAATCTGTTTTATCAGATGCATCAGTTCAGTCTATGAAAACTTATACTAAAAACCACTTTCTCCCAGTTAATCTTAACAATGCAACAGGTTCCTTTGTATGCTCATACAGACAAACTTGGCTACATCTTTGAATAATGCGCAAAATATTCTTGTTACATGGCACAGACTGATCTCGACTTTGAAACATTTGAGTTCTGTTTTGTAAATGGCTGATGCGACACTGCTCTCCTGTGGTGTGGCAACTATTTCCGTTAACTATTTCATGAGATGTTGCATGAATGAAACTGAGTTTTTTGAAGAGACTTGTAGTTTTTACGAAGTGTAGACATTGAAGAGCCCCTACTACTTGAATAATTACAAAGTGTGTTTCAGAATGGCCTAATTCCAAGACAATTCTGCCATGAGATACTTTTCTAGCTTGTGCAAAAAGCAGTTTAGTGACTGTAATGTGTGTGTGTGTGTGTGTGTGTGCTCACTTGCCTCCGGTCTGTATTCATTGTGTTTGTGCTGACATTCAAAATTCTAAATAATTGGAGTCCTTGGGTTGTTGTAGGTTTTTTCGGACTATATGGCCATGGTCTAGAGGCATTCTCTCTCAGAGGTAGTGAGGATGTTTACCATAGATGCAGGCGAAACGTCAGGAGAGAATGCCTCTAGACCATGGCCATATAGTCCAAAAAAACCTACAACAACCCAGTGATTCCAGCCATGAAAGCCTTTGACAATAAATTCGAGTCCTTGATATTTGAGTGGGCACTTCTTCTAATAGGTCAGGGGCTTTCAACCTGTGGGTCCCCAGATGTTTTGGCCTTCCACTCCAAGAAATCTTAACAGCTGGTAAACTGGCTGGGCATTTTGGGAGTTGTAAGCCAAAACACCTGGGGATCCACAGGTTGAGAACCACTGTGATAGCTGCTTACATGATAACTGAGAGCAGAAGGAGGGGCCCACCAGTTGGGACTCGAGAGTACACTTTGGAGGTATGGGAGAGGTGACTTTCTCAGCCATAGTATCCTTACTGTGGAATACTCTTCCCTTGGAGACCTGTTTGGCACTCACCCTGGCTTCATTCCACCAAGTGAAAATTGCAATATTTTAAAATTAAATTTCCTGGAGCAGTGTTTTAAAATTAAATCCTATAGTGTCTGATTGACTTACATATGCATGAGGAACATTCCTGAACTTACCATGAAGGTCAAAAATTATGAATAATAGCAAATCTGTTTGTAATCAATGACTTCCACCAGAAATCACTCTAGACTCATCCTGAAGGAACTAAAAAATTCATAGTTGTATCCTCTCTAGGGATTTGCTAGATTCTAGGATGACTCTAGTAACTTCAAGGGGAAACATACCGTTGACCCATCTTGAGAACCTAGAAAATTCCTAGAGATGACATATTTTGTCACATCCTGGTAGGAGAAACCCTATATACAGGGCTCTTACTGTATTTCAAAATGCAAGTTTTTCAACTTTGAAAATCTGTTTAAACTTTTAAATTGTTGAATATGTGTTTACTTTACTAACATTTTTATTGTTTTAATTTTTAAATAGCTTTAAACATTTTGATCAGTTTAACCTGTCTGCCACTCTGAGATCCTAGACTGTAGACTGGTGTATACATTTTTGAATGAATAAATGAAATTGATATGCATTATGGATTTATGGTTTTCTGGCAACATAATTAAAAATTATGCTTATTACCCACAGCGAGGAGAGTGTCTCTGGAATTGACCATGCAGAGGAGATGGAACTACTGCTGGAGAATTACTACCGGCAGGCAGACGATCTTATTAACGAAACTCGTGAACTTCGTTTATTGATCGATGATTCTGAAAGCATCATTTTCATCAATTTGGACAGGTGAGCTATGCATTAGCATGCTGTATGTGAAAATTTAATATTATTGTTCTGGATTGCACTGCCTTGGTATGTTTGATTATGGAGGTCTGAACTGAATTTCACCTCTTTAATATGCATGGGATGTGTTAATAAATTGGTTTGCATACTGTGCAGCCAGTGAAGGCTAAAGTCAACAAAAGAATGCATTTCAGACTAGAGTAACCTCACAAATTTCATTGAGGTTCACTGGCCACAGTGATATATAAATTTACCTAGTTTAGGGATTTAAAGATCAACATCTGGTGTTTTCCAAATGCTTATAGTGGTTCTCAACCTGTGGGTCCCCAGATGTTTTGGCCTTCAACTCCCAGAGAACCTAACAGCTGGTAAAGTGGTTGAGATTTTTGGAAGTTGTAGGCCAAAACACCTGGGGACCCACAGGTTGAGAACGGCTGGGCTACAAGATCAACAACCCCATCCAGCATGATCAGTGGTTGGGGATTATGGAAACTGTAGTGCAACACAGTTGGATGGGGGATATCATATAGTTGTTTGCCCCCAATTGAAGATGCTATTCTTCTGCTTCTGTTTATTATTAGGTTTTTTGTGACTTAAACTGCAGCTAAGTGCCAGGCAATTATGCATACAACGTAGTGTAAAGCCTCCTTTTCTCCTCTAGAGGGATGTTATGTCAGAGGGAGTGCTCTATCAGAAAGCCTAGAAACAGCCTTAAATGAAGAGCTGAATGCCAAAAGTGCCTTAATACTCCTGCCTTACACACTTCACCGCCTTTCCTGGTCCTTTGCTCCTTTTGTAAGTATCGCTGCAAGGTAACAGTAAATTCACTTACCATGTAAATATTTTAAAACTGCTTCTGGAAAGCAAATCCATCTGTAAATCCATAAATTTTACTGTTACTCTGTCTGTACTTACCAAAGGAATCAGGGATGGCAAAAACATGGGAGACTTTTGAAGAATGGAAGCATCTGTTCATAGATTTTTCAAGTAAAACAGGGGAAAAAATCCTGTTTGATCCCAAAAATGGCAGTTTCTCCAAGTCCCATTTTGCATTCTCTTATTGTCCAAACAGAAATTATTGTATAGTGTGAGGCAAGCATATTGGTTTTAATTATCTATGTCAAGGCTTTTTTTCTATGTAGTTATAATTTTATTTATGTATTTACTTATGGCTTTTTGGAGCATAAGCTTCCTTTCAAGCTAACACCAGCTTCTGTTATAATAACTCAGTTACTTATAGTGATGAATAAAGCCTTGTGGAAATCTCATGAATCAGACAATATGTCACTTTTGGAAGACACTTTCATAAAATGAGCATTTGGTTCCTGGCTATAGGATTAGCATCCCTTACTGAGAATTCTAAAATCCAAATTATTTCAGAATCCGAAATTGTACACATGGGTGTTTTCTTATCGTTCAGTGTACACAAACTTTGTTTCATGCTCAGAAGTTGTATGTAGTGCATTTGAAACACGAATGAATTTCATGTTTAGACTTGGGTCTCATCTCCACAAAATACCTTGCGGTCTCAAACATTTCAAATAACTTAACCTGTACATGGAATCAAACATCAGAAAATGGGTAACTTTTTTTTCACTCCCTCTGTCTAGACTCTGCAGGCTAGGAATGGGAGCCACTGGTACCCAATGTCTGGAGGACTACTTTTTGAGCCCTCTTCAACAGGAAACTTCCCGTGCTCTCTCTCTGCATATACAGTGGAATGTTTACTTAAGAGCATCCCAACTTAAGAGCATTTGAGTTAAGAGCTGTCAATCAACCTTGGTTCCACTTTGACATATGAATGGTGTTTTGAGTTAAGAGTTAGCGCCAAAGGAGCATTTGCGCCAGAGTACAGGGCTTTAGGGCTTCAAGGGAGCAGCCTCCGTGCCTCGTGCTCTTGTCTGCTTTGGAAGATTGCTGTCTGCTTTGCTCTTTTCTGCTTTGAGTAACATTGGGTTAGTTAATTTGGTTTGGTTTTTATTCCTGGTATGTTTGGCTTCATGAAGAGAGGGAGAAAGAGCAAGAGAGGGAGGCTGGAATGAATATAGTATGAAGATGCTTCTGCTTCTTCACTTTGTGCTTCCTTGCCACAGCTTTGTGCTTCTACCATTTAAAATTGCTTTTTCTTTTTTATTATTCCATACATTATTTGCTATTTATAAAGTACATTTTCTTACTTAAAAATAAAAAGTAACAAAAATGGGGGTGGGGTGTTCAGGGAGCTTTGAAATAAGAGCATTTTGAGTTAAGAGCTCAGTCACGGAACAAATTCAACTCATAAGTCAAAGTATTACTATACTGGATCTGTTGAGCTTGTTACCCAGAGACAGTTATCTTTAGAAATGATAGTTTCAGTGTGATTTTTTAGTGTGTCCTACTGACTGAAAATCCATCTCTGGCAGGGAGGTGGAGTGGGAAGCTTGATTTCAACATTCAGTAACTTTCTATTCCAAATGTTATCTTGAACAAATAGACCATTTAAACTGTTTCACTTCTGTTTCTTCATTGGGCTTCTAATGTATTAGCTTTTGTAATATTGTAAATTGCCAACTGTTTTAAAAACTATTCAAAGCTACCTAGGTCCAAACAGAATTCAGATAATATATAAGTATATCTTATTTGAAGTGTGGGAGTGTAATGTAACAAGAAAATTTAACAAATGGTATATCTGTAATCAAACATAAAAGACTCCATATAGAATAACCATTTTACATCAGTAGTCTTCAAACTTAGGATGTTTGTTTTGTTTTGTTTTGGTATTTTGTTTGTTTGTTTGGCTCTGGAGGGGCTAAACCTTTAAATGGGTAGCAGCAGAGCTAAAGGCCAGTCTTTTAGATCAGTCTGTGTTCCTAATCATACCTTAATCTAAAGAAAACAGTAAGCACTTCAGAAATGCCCAAACCTGTGAAATGAGTATAAACCAACAAGTGTCCTTTTACTTTGACATTATTTCTTTCCTTAGCCACCGGAATGTGATGATGAGACTGAACCTGCAGCTGACCATGGGGACTTTCTCGCTGTCACTCTTTGGATTGATAGGAGTAGCTTTTGGCATGAACTTGGAATCTTCCTTTGAAGAGGTGAGGTTCGACACTGAAAGAGAGGTTTCCAGACAAATTTGAGAGCAAAGATATTTCTAGGCTCTGATCAAATACGAGTCATATCAATTGTCAACATATCCCATATGTTTTAGGGAAATGACTTCTCAACTACACCTATTAATTTTAACTATAATTTTAATTTTAATGCTCATTGGAATTGTGTTTTGCTTTAAGGACATTGAATAATTGCCTATATGTAAGCCTCCTTGAGTCCCCTTCGGGGTTGAGGAAGGCGAGGTATAAATAGGGTAAATAAATAAATACACCTATATAAAATAGGAAAAGATTGAAATCCAGTGTGTAGTTCAAACATACCAATTTTCAAAATGCCTTGGCTATAGTTTTTCTACAGGAATTTTTAAAAAAACTTTATTGAGTCTAAGAAACCAGATTATATCATCTTTACCTGCTGAGTGTGAAATGCAGTTCTGTACAAGCCTTATATCAGAGCCTTACTTGACAGATGAGTGGACTTCATCAAGTCCACCATAGGTTCAAAATGTTTGACCTGAAAATGTGCCTAGATTTTAAGGAACTGATTGACTACAGCAATAGATGTTTTTTTTGAAGATTTTCCTTGTTGCTTATTCCACTGAACCGTTGTTTTTTTCATTTTTCAGAAGTGATGTCTTAAGTTAGAATGAGAATTCCAGCAAAGAGTAAGAGGAGGGAGGTGGGATTAATCCAGAACCAATAACTTTGAAGGTTAGAGAGAATGGAAACCCAGAAGGAGAAAAGGGAGGGATCAGATAAATAAGAACATGAAGGGATATTAACTGTGCGCTATCTCAGTTCTTTATGATACGTTAACTAGTAAATATAGTTTTTAGGTAGTGTTTCAAAGCCTCTTCTCAAAGTTCATCATGAATAATATTCCTATTTAAAAAGAGGTAAAAAAAACGAGCTGTGTTTGAGGAGTAGAGAATATCTCAGAAGAAAAGGCATTGAATAATTCATTGTGTTTCTTAACTTGCTAGAATCGTGGAGTATTTTGGCTGGTGACTGGAATTATGTTCCTGGGCAGTGGCCTGATTTGGCGACGCCTCCTTTCCTTCCTCGGGCGACAGCTTGGACCTTCAGTACCTCCTCCAGTAAGCACAATCTCACTAAAATTTACCCTTAAGCCCCTACTTGCTTGATTGTATTACTACAAAACACTACATTGTGGTTTTTATAATATAGATCTTGAGAGCATATACCATATACTGTGTAGTTTCAGAATAAAGAAACCACAAGCGTACTGTCTGTACTTTGGTTTGACTTGGCCCTGCTCTCCATTAGTTTGACTTTTTATATTGAAATCCTGGTCTAACTCAACCAATATTTCTTATAGTGAGTAAAAGAACCTGAGATATATGTGTAAAAAGTAATATAAAGCTGACCTTTCTAAAGATAAACATAGGCAACTAATCAACCAGTTGTACTTAGTTTAAAATATACCAACCGGATTTCTTTCCAATATGTAAACAACATAGCAGGAACCCCTGGTAGTGCAATGGGTTAAACCTTTGTGCCACCAGGACTGCTAACCAAAAGGTCAGCGGTTCGAATCTCAGGAGCGGGGTGAACTCGTCTGTTAACTCACAGTTACCAAAATGGTGTGGCTAAATGCTGTGTTTGGTAGGAGCCCCCAATGGCACAATGCATTAAACCCTTGTGCCGGTGACCAAAAGGTCGGTGGTTCAAATCTGGGGAGCGAGCTGAGCTTCCGTCTGTCAGCTTCAGCTTCCCATGCGGAGACATGAGAGAAGCCTCCCACAGGATGGTAAAATATCTGAGTCTCCCCTGGGCTACATCCTTACAGACGGCCAATTCTTTCACATCAGAAGCAACTTGCAGTTTCTCAAGTCACTCTTGACATTAAAAAACCCCATAACCAGTATAGTTTCGTGGCTAAGCAGTGACCTCTGGCCTGTTCTTTCATCCCTGCTTGCCAGGCAGCAATCCCTGATTGGTGAAGATCTATTCCCCAGTCAGTTGGGAAGCAGCTGGCTGATGTTTTCATCCCATTCCATGGGTGTTGCAACAGAGATGGTATAGCCCTGTCACAATTCAGCTTTACACTCAAGATCGCTTGCATGAGGAAGTCAGAATGTCAAATTGCCAAATAAGCGGCATTAGGAAATTCAACAGTCCCTATACAGAGCCATTCATGACTGTGTAATTCTAGATTATACATTCATAACTGCCTTAGTGAATTTAAACCATTGATAGTAAAGTAACTCTTAGTGGTATGTACTGTTGCCCTCTATGTCAAAGCTGTTCAACCACACATTTTTACATGGGTTTCAGAGTTCCTTCATGTTGATCACTTCACTGTTTTCCCACCTCACTTTGATGTTTTTGTTGTTCCATAGATTCCAGCTTTTATGAAAAGAATCCAACCAGCAAATGGAAAAGTGGACTTTAAAAGTGACTTTAAAACAGAATCACTTGGATCAAGTAGAAACACAGTGACAAACCATTGATCACACCTTTACAATTTGACTTCAGACAGTGTTTCCTCTACTAAAAGGTAGCATTTGTTATTATGTGACTTTAGCATATGCCAAAGATGTGTGCCTACAGCCATCAAAATTTCCAGCTTCGGCAAGACGAGCCCAGCGGATTTTTTTGCACCAAAGTTGAATATCCCCAGCACCTATAATCTAATGAACACAAAATTCAGATTGTGGTTCATCTGATACTTCTGGACACCATGGTTTAGTATATGCAAGGAAATTACAGGTATATCTCAGTTAATCAAGTAGATTTCTTACTGGGCAGAAATAACATCAAAGCAATGTGGATAGATTCAGTCTATACGTTTCAGAAAACTTTTAATCCGGTATCAAAAATCTGTATATGTGAGAGAAACCTCCAAGTCATCTAAGGTTACCATAGGTAAATAAACCATTCTGGGTCTTCTAGCATCATTTGAAGTCTTTTTCCAAAATACATCCAGAAATGACTTCCTTTCATCAGCCTCCACATTTCTTTGTTGGCCAAACTTATTGCAACCATCAGGTGTAGTAGAGGACTTGAAGGGATGTTGTCTATTTTGATCACGCTCCCTTGTTCAAAATGCCATGTGGTAAAGTAAAGGTAAAGAGTTCCCCTGACATTAAATCTAGTTGTGTCCAACTCTGGGGGTTGGTGCTCATCTCCATTTCTAAGCTGAAGAGCTGGTGTTGTCCGTAGACACCTCTAAGGTCATGTGGTCAGCATGACTGTATGGAGCACCATTACCTTCTCCAGAAGTGGTACCTATTGATCTACTCACATTTGCATGTTTTTAAACTGCTAGGTTGGCAGAAGCTGAATCTAACAGTGGAAGCTCACCCTGCTCCCCAAATTCGAACTCCCAACCTTTCGGTCAACAAATTCAGCAGCTCAGCGGTTTAACCCACTGTGCCACCAGGGGGGCCTGGTGTGACAAAGCCAAAATCTAACTTCCACTAAAAGATAAACACAGTCAGCGATTGAGAGAGATTTTCATCTGTTAAATGGCTGTCATACAACCTACTGATAACTGCTAGCACAATGTTAGTAGTTCAAAATGATTGTGAAATGTTGTTTGAAAAGAAATATCTGATTGTATTGCTTGTGTTGCATTGCATTGCACAGTGAGCAAGGTAAGAAACAATAAGGCATTGGCTGGTGATTTTAAATGAAGATAGTGCATTTATTAATCTTTAACCTAAACAGCAAGGAGATTGTCTGTAAAATGTTGGTTTATAAAAGAAACGAGAGACTGCATTTGATAGAAGAGTTTGACTAACGCAGGAGACAATGACTAGCCCAAAGTAACATTGCTTCAGGAAACCTACCTATTGATCATGTTGCTTTCCATGCCATCTTCAAAAGACTTCATAATGAGACTTTCCAGATATTGTTGAGCTAGGTGCTCTAACAGCTCTAGTCAGCATAGCCAAAGATAAGCAGTGCTGGAAGTTTAAGTCCGGCAACTGGAGGGCCACATGATTCTTTCACAGCACCCTACTTTCTTCCTTCATTGTACCACATTCTTCCTTTTTTTTCAACAGAAATCCATTTGGGGATGTAAGTGATGCTCATTTAGTTTAGCACTGACAGTTTCAGAGTTTCCAGCAGAAATCTTTCCCTTCACCTAATATTTGATTCCCTTTAATAGACATTAAATCCAAGACCTTTCGTTTGCAAATTGTGTGGTGCATCACTGAGCTGCAGAAACTATTTATATAGATATATTAACTCAGGTTTTTGACTGTTTCAGAGTCTTTTGCTTGTGTTGGTAGGCCAAGGTCATCAGCATATATAAAGGTCTTTGTGAGTGGTGGCTGTGGCTGATTGTTAGTAAAGATGTTAAACAAGGTTGGTGTAAGAACGCTGCCTTGAGGTAAACCATTCTTTTGCCTCTTCCATCTACTTTACCTGCCTTGAAACTCCACATAGAAGTTGCAGTTTTCTAGGAGGGTCTGGACAGTTGTTGTAAAATCATAGTTCCAAGTAATATGGTAGACTTTATGCAGCATTTTTTCTGTGTTGCACTGTGTCATAGGCTGCCATAAGGTCCACAAAAACTGTTCCCGTAATGCAATCTTTCTCATAGCCTTCCTCGATAAATTCAGTCAGATCAAGAATTTGGGCTGTACAGTTTTTCTCTGGTCTGAAACCAGCTTATTCTGCAATAAGCTGGGGTTCAATGACAGGTCCTAAGCAATTTAATAGCATCATCTCATATACTTTATAGAGATGACATAAGAAGGAGATTGGTTGGCAGTTCGTGGCATTGGAGGCATCTTTATCAGGTTTTTAAATGGCAATGATCTTAGTTTTCCTCCATAGTCTGGGAATCTGTGTGTCAAACACTGGACAAAATATGCAGAATAATCACAGGATGTCTCAAACCTACACCTGTTGATAAACTGTATAAGCTAGCTAGCATTGCCCCCCCCCCCCACCTTCCCTCCAACGTGCAGTGGGAAGCTGCTGCCAACTGTGAGAGTAATAAGGTTGAACACTGTGAAAGCCATCCACTGCCTTGCTATCAGCCTTCTCCCAGTAGACTCAAATCAAGGAAGACTTTCATGAGAACCACCATTCCTCTTAATGTTCCCCCAGCAACAGCAGGGGTATCCCTCTGGGCAACTAAACTAGGAAACCCCAATTGGACGGTCCCCCACAAGGGTCTTTCTCCAGGGGCAGACCAAGAATAGGCAGCTTGGAAGTCCCTGAACGGACTCAGAAGTGGAGTGGGCAGATCAAAAGACAACGTAGCAAAATGGCACTACCTAGAAAAATCATCCACCTTGTGCGTTGTGGAGCAGAACAAACAACTCCACATCTGTATTCTTGCCCACAATGCCCTGTCTCATGCACAGAGGAAGAATTGCTTAAAGCTGCAGACAATGTGGTTGAAGTTGCCAATTTTTGGTCAAAATTATTTATCCTCTTCTACTTCCTCTATTTTATCAGTTTTATACTTACCGTATTTATGCAGTTCTTTTGACAGAAAATAAATAAATTAACTCAGGAAATTTCAGATTCTTGTGAGCCAACCTCTAAATCCTGCTCGAGTTACTCCACACACTGTTTTTAAAAATCCCTGGCAAAGTGGACAATTTACAATACAACCCCTATGTCTGCAGGGGACCCGTTCCAAGACAGACAATGCGGTCACTGTTGCCTGTTTTTGGTCAAAAATTATTTACCCGCTTGTGCTCCCTCTGTTTTATCAATTTTATGCTTATTTATGCAATGCTTTTGACACGAAATAAATAAATAAAAACTGGGAAAATGTATTGTTTATGACATACTAGTAACTCCACATTTGCAGGATTTTAGAGGTTTTTTTCACCAGTATACTAAATTGTACTGTATATTGTAATAAATAACTTGCAACAGGATTTCATGTCTTTTCTTGTGTGATGTCTTTTTTTGGACCAGTATTGAAATAGCTCATGATCAAAAGCTTCCACATAGTATTACTTTTTATAATCGATTTTTATTACAGCAGTACTAATATAAGAGGTGAAACTTCCATTATTTAAAAAGATTGGTGCTGTTCAAAATGTCAGTCCAATAGTATATCTATCACCCTATTCTACATTTAAAGAGAAGTTATATGAAAATTAAAAGTAGTTCACTGAAGACATTTAATCAAAAGGAGCATAGCAGTTAGAAAGTGTAGATAAAAAGTCTTCCACTGAGCCGTGCTTTTGCTGAACTTCTTTCAGCAGCTACTACAATGTCATTCTGAAAAGAGAGAAAGCAGCCATTGATGTTACAGAATTCTAGGTACAATTAAAAACATTGATACCTTAAGATTTTGGAACAGACTGTTGTTACGAGGGCAAAATAGACCAGCTGTACTCACTTGCATTTTTATTTTTGACCAGGGACCACTCTCTAACATTAGTACCAAAAAGGTTACGAATCAGTTTTTGGTCAACTTTCAATTTGGTTATTTGGGGTGCTGATTCAGAAAATCGCATTGGATAGACCACATCAGCTCTAGTTTCTGATACAGAATATTTGCCATCCAGTAGTCGCCATCTGCTTGCCCACAGAAAACCATATTTAATAAGCCTCAACACTATAAGAGGGTTTCACGAAACCACTTGCTCTCATACACAGGTTGGGAACCACTGATTTGGATCATCATGATATACAATCATCTATTGCAGGAAAACCTATTTCCTATGGTACTGATCTCAAGAATAAATTTGAGCTCAAATCAACCCAACTACAATGTAGCCACTACTGCATCAGCTGGCATACGTCCCCTTTTCTATCCTCTTAAACCATTTGGGCAAAACATGTACATTTGCTCACTTGAACACCTTGCAGCCAGTGAAATGGAGTAAAGAAACTCCAACCAGAAGCCTGGTTATGTGCCTTTGTGTAAAGGGAAAGGCACCTTTTAGCTATGGTAATGCATCAACATTGGCTAGTTCATAATGTATCTGGGTAGACAAGCAATTATCTTTGCATCACTCAAGCAACCAAATGCAACTGGGGAAAAGATGGTCAGTGTTTGGGGCAAAAGGCCTTGGATCTCAGTTATTTCTTAAAGGTTCTGTAGGTGAGACTTCTGGACAAGGAAACATGCCTATTCTACCCACTTGTAGCTCTTTCCAGTTTCTCTCCATAGTCTCAGAAAACAGCTATCAAGAAGCCAATTATTTCTCTCCTGATTGGCCTTGGATTTTTCTCTCCCTGCAACAGCTAGCAGCACACATTTGCTTACCTGTGGTCCTGATTTTACTGTAATCACAGCACTCCCAAATCGTGACTTTTCCTGCAATATTGAAAGTGTCATTATTCACTACGAATGTCGAATAAGAGATACATATTTTAAAAACAGCAAGTTTGTTCTTCATTGTAGACCTCAAAAGAGAAAAGGAAACATCTATACTGGATGATCAAGTCTCCTTCTACCTGTTTCCTAACGTATTTGGCACCATAATGGGTTACAATTGGAGAACAAGTACACTGCAAAAAATATGCCTATTGTGAGAGAGCAAACACATGTAGACGAAGAGGAAAATAGTGCAAGACTGCTGATCAATTACTTCAAAATGTTTCCCACATATGGTGACCCTAAGGTTTACTTAACATGGAGTCTTCTTCGCAAGAGTTGTTCAGAGTGGTTTAGCTTTGCCTTCCTCTAAGGCTGAAAATGAGATTCCATGGCTGAATAGGGATTTGAACCCTGGCCTCCAACATTTCAACCACTACACCACACTAGCTTTCATAGACTTAGTCTGTAGCCAACCTGAAATTCATGAGCAACCCTACCCTGTAATCCAGTGGTTTTTAACCCGTGCGTCCCCTAGTGTTTTGACCTACAACTTCCAGAAATCCCAGTCAGTTTACCAGCTTTTAGGATTTCTGGGGGTTGAAGGCCAAAACATCTGGGGACCCACAGGTTGAGAACCACTGCTGTAATCCCAAGCATTTTTTTACTATGATTTATATGAAATTCAATGGCTTAAACGTGTTATCCCTTCAGAATTTGATTGCTTACCTCAGGAGAAATGATGACATATTCTGCCTGTGAAAGAAAAAGACAAGAAAAAAGATAACATATTTTATCTTTTTTTTCAATCTATATTAAAAGACAAAAAAATGTAAAGGTTTATGAACTGCTAAGATCAACTGACACTAGGGAAATATGATAATCACACAGAATCGGTAGGTACGGTTTCATCTATCCACAAAATATGTACTCTGGACATTTTCTTAGGTTCTTTGTGGTATTATTGAGATAGAAACCCTTCATATCTCAACAATACCATGGTTTTGCGTATCCACATGAAGTCTGGGAATATACTAGTTCCACTACTGTATAGAAATTTAAGACTACCCCTATAATGTAAAACTTCAAAATGCCAAACAAAAGCAACCCAGACAATTACAAATACAGCATGAATATTCATTATCCAAAATTCTTGGGACCAGGAGTATGCAAAGGTATCACTATCACATCCACCCATGTGAACATTTCAGAATATTTTGGATTTTTCAATTCTGCACTACCTGTACCTTTTTAGGTCTATATACTTCGAGCATAATTCCTATCCCACTCCCCATAACAAACATGTCGCTGACCACCCAGAATGTAATTGTTGCTTTGTTTCATAAAGTTTTCTTACCCAGTCTTCAGGACAAGGGGTAGTCCAGGACTTGCACTTGTTTGTAACTTTACCCGATATGGTCTGATTTCCACTATATATATAAATACGTGCAGACTCTCCTTCAAGAACTCCAGCTACAATGTCTTTACTTCGAAGAGGTGATGTCACAATGATCTCATCTGCAAATATTTATAAGATAAGGAATGGTAACTAATTTTGCTTTCAGTGGACCTTCAAGAATGCACTGTATTGTTCTTATTTCTTGTTTAGTGGATATTAATTATTAATACTTAAATTCTGTTGACACTGCAATAATATTTTAATGTTTTGTATGTTTTTATTGATGTAAACATTATTTGTATCTGCCCCTTCCCCTAGACTGGAATCCAATAATATTGGATTTGATATGCAAGATTATTTCTGGTCACCTTAGTGCACTGGTTCTCAACCTGTGGGTCCCCAGGTGTTTTGGCCTACAACTCCCAGAAATCCCAGACAGTTGACCAGCTGTTAGGATTTCTGGGAGTTGAAAGCCAAAACATCTGGGGACCCACAGGTTGAGAACCACTGCCTTAGTGGATCGAAAGTATAACATTCTTGGCTTCCCTAATTTTATGCTTTCTATCATCCCTGGCTGCACAGTGGGTTAAACCACTGAGCTGCTGAAATTAGTGACCAAAAGGTTGGTGATTCAAATCCGGGGAACGACGTGAGCTCCCGCTATAAGCCCCCGCTTCTGCCAACCTAGCAGTTCGAGAATATGCAAATGTGAGTAGATCAATAGGTATCGCTTCTACGGGAGGGTAATGGCACTCCATGCAGTCATGTTGGCCACATGACCTTGGAGATGTCTATGGACATTGCTGGCTCTTCAGCTTAGAAATGGAGATGAGCATCGACCCCCAGAGTTGGACACAACTAGACTTAATGTCAGGGGAAGCCTTTACCTTTACCTATCATCTTATGATACAACTACTGAATAGATTTTTTTTAAAAAAAATACAACATCTAGTAATTATAAGTGCTCCACAAATGAAGTATGATATTATAAGTATGATATTTTTTTTTACCAAGTCCATCGTTGTTCAGGTCACTTAAGTGCACATCTCCTCCAAAGCGTGAAAATCTTCTGTCCCCATTAAAACTGCTGAGCAAAAGAGGTTTAGTATCTTCTCTCAGATCATACATCAAAGCCGCCCCTGCTTGGTGTAGCACCGAAGGTATAAAAACAAGCTTAGATGGGCTGTCTGAAAGAAACCAAGCAAGATGACAGGATCACAATACTGCTTCTGATAGATGGTTTGTAATAATTGGCATTAGCAGATTGGTACTCTCTATGAAAATATTACAAATAGAATTAGCAGCCTTAAAAAGGCTATTTGTGAGTGTGAAGTAATATATGGGCTTTGGAAATACAAAGATCTGCTTTCAGGATGATAAATGCTTAGGCCCCACATTGTTAATGTCAGCAATAATATTACTTCAGTTTTGTAGCAGTCCTTTGTCTAGAAGCCACATGGGATTGCAGTCAAACCAGGTACCCCTGGGCAGTCGTAAGGCCAAACAGGTTATAGGGTTACAGCCTGTATTGGATGGCGTTACAGTCCCTCTGAAGACACAGGTTCACAGCTTGGGAGTTCTCCTGGATTCATCACTGAGCCCAGGTTTTGGGGGTGGCCAGGGGGGCTTTCGCACAATTAAAACTTGTGCACCAGTTCTGCCTATACCTTGGGAAGTCAGACTTGGCCACAGTGGTCCATACTCTTGTTACATCAAGAACAGACTACTGCAAAACGCTCTATGTGGGGTTGCCTTTGAAGACTGTTCGGAAGCTTCAAATAGTCCAATGGGCATCAGCCAGATTGCTCATTGGAGCAGCGTACAGGCAGCGTGCAACTCCCCTTATGTGTCAGCTCCACTGGATGCCAGTCTGCTACCGAGCACAATTCAAAGTGCTGGCCTTCTGGCCTTAGTCTATAAAGCCCTAAACGATTATACCCCAGCTTACCTGTCTGAACATATCTCCCTCTATGATCCACCTCGGGGGCTAAGATCGCCAAGGAGGCCCTGCTCTTGGTCCCACCCCTGTCGCAAGCATGACTAGTGGGGACAAGAGACAGGGCCTTCTCAGTCATGGCCCATTGTCTATGGCACTCCCTCCCCACTGAAACTAGATCTGCCCTCTCCCTCCTGGCCTTCAAAAAAAACCCTAAAAATGTGGCTGGGATCGAGCTTTTGGTCAATAATGCGAGCAGTGCAATAAGAGACTATAAATTAACTTAATGATGACCTGGACTGCCTGGAATATGACCTGGATTATGTGATTTTAATTGTTGTTTTAATGTTGTGTTTTTAATGGGTTGGTTTTCAATGTTTCTGTTTATTCATCAATGTACATGCAGCATTGAATTGTAAGGCCACCCAGAGTCCCCTTTGGGGTTGAGATGGGCGGTAAATAAATGGTAAATAAATAAATAAGTAAATTCCCAACTACATCTGAATTTAAAATATTGCTCATTAAGTGACTGGAAAGAGCTACATGCCATTTCTACCTGTACTTTTTCCTTTATAAATGTACATAAAAAAGCACAAATGTAGCAAAATAAAATGCACCTTCCATACTTTTTGAACACTGTGGCACCAATTTTTTTAGCTATAGCAAAGCCAAATATGCAATTAGTAAGTCAAATGTACAATATTACTACTATTTGCCTGATGGTATTCATGTTTTATTATTTGGGAAATAAAACCACTGTCAAACATTGTTATTACAAGTCCAGCTTTGAGTACCTTGTGTTGGTGCGCCGACCACCAAAACGTGCCTTGGGGTGCCTTCTACAGAAAGGAAACCAGTTGCCAGAGATGAACCAAAATTCCCCATATCCTATATGCAAATCATAAAAAGACATTAGCCTCAAAAAGATGGGTCCCTCCTTGTATATTTGAATATTCACTGCTTTCAGATGGTAACAAAAAGTATACCCACCATATCTCCAGTTAACGTAAACCAGCTGTGTTTATTTGGTGGGATATAGCCATATACTCTTCCAACAGCCTGCTTGGTATCTTTAGAGAAATAGCAGCGTATGCTGGAGAATACAATTATTAAGTTAAAACATTTGGAAGAAATATTGGTGGGGTTAGATTTAAAAAAAAACATTTATGTGAGGGGAGTCACTGAAGAATACATAAAGGTATTATCATGGTTCAGTACTGGGAATGTGGAGCCACTAAAGAATGCTTAAAATGTTGATTTTACTGTGCCCTTGCTTCTTTCCAACCTAAATTTTTCATCTAGAAAATGGAAAGCATGACACTAAAGTAGCCCACAAGAGTAAAGGAAAATGCGGGCAAACTCAATGGGCCCTTCAAATCCTACCACAGGCCACCTCCACCTACATGGCTATTCACCAGTGGTTCCCAACCTGTGGTCTATAGACCACCAGTGATCTGCAAGAATAAAAATATGGTCTGCGGCATCACCATTAGCTCGAAACCACACGGCAATGAGAGCAACTGGTCTTCCGAAACCGTCTTATAGTACCGAGACAATGGGGATATCGGGAGGGGAAAGGCTGACTACCCATGAAAGATTACTTCTACGACATCAGCTCTGGATTATTAGATACGGTTTTTTTGTGGGTGAACAGATGATGATTACTGCATGACATATGTAGATTCCCTGATATTCTAATTTGTGGGGGGCAGTGATATAATAGGGTTAATGACAAAAGGCAGAAAATCCGAAGCAAATTACAATCAACCCAATTTTGAGCCTACATAAGTGGAATTTATTATTAATTTAAATAATAATAATAATAATAATAATAATAATAATAATATAACTTTATTTTTCTACCCTGCCTCCATCTCCCCAGAGGGACTCAGGGCAGCTTACATGGGGCCATGCCTAGACAACACACTGTTAAAAAGAGAACGGCAAAATATAAAACAGCATAAAAACAACATCGTCTTAAACAATAAAAGCAAGCATCATAAGCAGCAACATAGATACCTCTAATCTCAATTTTGGGGGGGAGGGGATCAATATAGAATTGAATTAAAGGATAGGTTGGTCAAAAAGGTGGATAGAACAAATAGTAGAATAGGTATAGAGCAATTATAACAGGATCATTAGAGCTTAGCTTAAAAATATAGTAATCAAATATAGGAATTGCTGGGCACCTTTGACTAATGAGATGCCATTGGTGTATAGATTTGTGGAGATAGACCTCCAAGAGGCCTCTGGTGATTAATTAAGCTCATCCATTCTAACCTGAATACCACAGTCATGACACTCAGAGATGGGCTTCTGCTCAATTTTTAAGGATTTTTTTTCAGTTTGAGCAACCTGAGAATGTGGGCAGACTACTTGAAAAGTAACAGAACCTCTGAATTTCCTATTTATGGAACTTGACTGTTGTTGGGGGAACCTCAGAGATGGTTAATGCCTCTATGAGAGGTGGTAAGGTACCTACAAACCAGAAGACAGCAGCAATTCAAACTCTTGGCAAAAATTCCATGAACTCTAGTTCTTTAGGTATATTTTACCCATAAAATAAGCCACAGCAGAATTTCTAAGCATTTGCACAAAATAAGCCTTATCCCGAAAATAAGACATAGTGATAGGTGTGACTATGTAATGTACAAGGTTGGCTCCCCCGTCAGGTCTTAGTTGTTCTGTGCATGCTGCAAGCTGAGGCATAGAAGGAGACATAGAAAGTGAAAGTCTCCCCAATGAAGTGAGAAGCAGGACGCTCTGCTTTGGGTATTGTGTGTTCTCAGGGGAAAGAAGTAAAGCTGTGGCTACCATTTTACTCCGTGCTGTGGGTCTCTCTCGCAGCCGCCCCCCCCCCCCCCCCCCGCCCCCCCTGAAAACACCAGTAAAGCTGCTGCTCCCCAGCACTGACCAGCAACAGTCTGTGGGTGTATCTCACCCCACACAAACATCAGGGAATATGGGGGAGCTTCAGCAAGCAGTCTACCAGTAAGCCCAGAGAGATTATCCCATAAATGGAGATAGTTGTACCATACTTAATAAAAATAAGATATCACCAGAAAATAAGTCATAATGTGTCTTCTTGAGGAAAAATAAATATAAGGTAGTGTCTTATTTTCAGGGAAACACGGTAGTATCTTAATTTACCTTTTTTTGAGAAATGTCTTAGAGTAGAAAGTGGTGTTCTTAACTTCCAGCAGTCTTGGAAGATGCTGGTTATATGGACCCATTCCAATCTGGCAGATGGTTTAACTGGGAAATTGGAGTGCAGTGGGGATATATGCCTATCGAGTTTACTGGGAATGTTCAGTGTGTTTTGATAATATTGCCTGATACCATTTTCTAAGTCTAAGGCTTTGATTTTAGAGATATGTTGCTTGGTTCACTCCATTCCTTTCTTGAGATATGAATTTAGATCAGGGGTCTTCAAACTAAGGCCCGGGGGCCGGATACGGCCTTCAAAGGTCATTTATCCGGCCCTCACTCAGGATCAACCTAAGTCTGAAATGACTTGAAAGCACACAACAACAACAACAACAACAACAGCAACCTCGACAACAATCCCATCTCATCAGCCAAAAGCAGGCCACACTTCCCATTGAAATACTAATAAGTTTATATTTGTTAAAATTGTTCTTCATTTTAATTATTGCACATATTAAGAGTTTTTGTACTACAAATAAAATATGTGCAGTGTGCATAGGAATTCATTCATGTTTTTTTCTACAAATTATAATCCGGCCCTCCAACAGTTTGAGGGACTGTGACCTGGCCCTCTGTTTAAAAAGATTGAGGACCCCTGATTTAGATAGTGGTACCAAATGGCTGCTAGTCTGTGGTGCCAATATACACATAGAAAGTTGGGTTGTGACCAGTCACATATAGATTCACAAGGTTAAGTGCATTATACCCTGAACAGCTCTTCCAAGAAGGACTACCAACAAGCAACAATGTTCTATTCGGAAGCTGGACACTGCTGAGTGATGATCCAAACCAGGCATAATCCCTTTGTCCTTTCACTATCCAATCAGCATCTGACACAGACAGTTGCCCTGGAAAATCAAACAACAATAAATAATGAATGAACAAACATTGTTGAAGACAGACACACACACATGCATTCCATTCTTCTTTGTGACAATGTGAAATTTCAAGAACAATTTTCACTTGTAATAACCAAGACCTCAGTGGACTGAAGACCAACAGGTCAGAGGTTTAAATCTGGCGAGGGCGCAGTTGAGCTCCCTCTGTCAGCTCCAGCTCCCCATGCGAGGACATGAGAGAAGCCTCCCACAAGGATGGTAAAACATCAAAACATCAGAGCCATCTGCAACATCCTTGCAGATGGCCAATTCTCTCACACCAGAAGCAACTAGCAGTTTCTCAAGTCGCTCCTGACACACACAAAAAACTTGTAATAACTGTAATATTCACACCACATCTGCCAGAACAAGCAGAGAAATGGCATGTTAAACCAGATATTAGCTAATGCCCATAAATTTCAATTCCCAGTATCATACTTTATAAAATGGACTACAGGGTGGTCTGCAATGCAACCCAATGCTTGTTTGTTCAGAAATAAATGCCAACAAACATTCTGAGATTTGATTGAGAGAGAGAGACCAAACACAGATCATTCTTTCAAAAGAACAATGGGAAACAACAGAAAAGTGGCGTAACAAAAAAACTCTAATGTGTGACATTTCAACACTGTAACAGGAAATAACAATAGGTTACTTTTCAAACTGTGATAAGTAACAGGAATGAATTATTTGTAAAAAAAAAAATGAAAACAAAAACCAACAACCTTCCAAGCTCTTATACGGTCATATACAAATAAATAAACAAATCAGAACTTTTATACATCTTCTGAGCAACTTTTACGGTCCAGGATTTGCATCGTATTTAGACTATACCTTTACTGACAGCCTTTTGGGAGCAGTCAATAACGTTTAGGATACTTTATTTCAATCAGAAGACTATGAGATGACACATGAATTCTTTGCATTATTTCAACTTAAGTCTTAGCCTCATGAGCCGTTCAGCATATGGTGTTTATTACAAACACTACTACTCATATGCAAATAAGATTATTTGCTGTAGTTTTGTATTATGAAGTATTGAACATGAGCTAAGATAAAATGCAAGAAAGACTGTGATATGAAATAAAAAAAATGATTCCTTAACAAATGTCACCTTGGCTGCTTCTGTTGAAAAATGAATAAAAGGATGCCACAAATCCTCTTTGTTTTCCTCTGCCAGGTGCATAAGGAGAGCCGACAACGAGATCATGGTTTCCATCTCCATCAACATCAGCTGCCAACAGTGACCAGCCAAAATTACAGTATATTTCCTGCAAAAAGAAATGCAATAGTTTGTAGGGAAATCAGAATGTTGCACTCTTGATGAAATATGACTCCACCAATGAAATATCTCTAAGTAAGAAGTTCTCTTTCTCTAGTGGCATTACAAAATACATTTGTGTATGACAATCTTGTAACCCCATGATTCCCTGCAGTTGACTGTGGAGACAGGGAAATCACCCTTGGAAAAGCTCTTTACAACTGCTAAATTCTTGACTTTGGCCTTATGGTTTTGTGTGGAAAGACCTAATGTGATGTCTGTAATATATTTATAACAGATGTTTAATAATACAATACATTTGTAACTACTGGAAAGGCATGTCCTTTCAGAAATCATATCCTTTTGGAAAAACAGGAATCTCCGTAGCCTTTTGGAAGTGTGACCCTTTTGGAGATTAATTGACATTCACAACCATTTGAAAATCATAACTTTTTGTAATAGTATGATCTTCCAGAGAAGAGTTAAATACTCCTTTGAGTGAATCTTCTCCTTAGTGGTAAATATTCACTAGTATTCATACAAGGTAATTAGGTTTCTCAGTTGTTAAACTGATATACCTGGTTATTTCTCTGAACTGTGAGGAACAAAGATATACCAATGCACAAAATATATAGCAGATCTTCAAAAGTGTTATTTCAGTATCCCAAAAACATCCACTCTCCATAAAATATATTGCTTTTAAATCTTGCTCTCAAAAGACCAAAAACACGTAGTCTTCGTTAAATGTCACGTAGTTGATTTACTTGCAAATTTCATGTATTCAGCATACAAATACATTTCTTATGGGTTGAGAGTTTAAACAGTAAGTTCTCTAAAGTAGTGGTTCTCAATCTGTGGGTCCCCAGATGTTTTGGCCTTCAACTTCCAGAGATCCTAACAGCTGGTAAACTGGCTGGGATTTCTGGGAGTTGTAGGCCAAAACATCTGGGGACCCACAGGTTGAGAACCACTGCTCTAAAGCATTCTGTTTCAGTCTCCTTGTTGCATACAAACTAATACACTTGTTAGTCTAATGCATCACTGACCATTGACTCAATACAGACTGACCACACACTGCAGCATACTGACACAACTGGCTTCTAAACTGTACTGCTTCTGATGTAAAACAACTTCTAAAATTGAGTCTCAGTCTGAATTGTCCCAGATCTGGTCACATGGTCTGTAGTCCCTCCCACAATCTCAAACACATAGAGTTAAGGGGAAAATGCATACTAAATCATATACATACAATATAGTAAGCAACCACAGTTATATACAAAAGAAAGACCTAGTATAGGAGGCTTGTAGAAGGTTGCTATTTCCGACATTAACTCACTGACTGGTTTAAACAATCTACTCCATACAAAAGTATCAGATCTGAAATGCCACATATCTCTCTTGAAATTATTCCTCTAAATGCCACTTATCTCTCTCGAAATTATTGTGCAGCTGGATCCAGAGTAGCTTCCATAATTAGTGATCAAACTATCTCTTTCAAGGTGGCTGGCACCGTGCCCTCTCATAATGACTATATCTTGGGCCAACCACTTATTGCAATAGTCAAGATGGGCATTAATCAAGAATATAGCTCAGACATGGGCAAATGTTGGCCCTCCAGGCGTTTTGGATTTCAACTCCCAGAAATCCCAGCCAGCTTACCAGCTGTTAGGAATTATGGAAGTCCAAAATACCTGGAGGGCCCAAGTTTGCCCAATGCGTAATATAGCTATATCCTTTCATAGCTGCATTTTATCCCTCTCCCAGGACTCAATAACAAAACCAAAACATTCAGACACTTCTCCCAGTACTGTTGTCAATTTCAGGATCAAGTACAAAGGGAGCATGAATGACTCACAACTTCTTTCTCACCAAACAACTGTGAGATCGTGGATAAAAGTAAGACAAATGTCATACCTACAATAGTATCCTTCTCTTAATGACAGTAAATAAGAGCTTGGAAATGTTATTTGTTTGGGATTACAGTGCTCAGAATCCACTAGTCAGCTCACGCAGTGGCCTTGCTGTTTGGGAGATGTTGGAAGCTATGACTCCCAAGAGTAACTTTGGCTGCATCAATACTGTAGAATTAATGCAGTTTGACACTACTTTCACAGTCCTGGCTCAATGTTATAGAATTATGGGGTTGCTATTTTACAAGGTCTTTAGTCTTCCATGTTAAAGGATGATTGTAGCTCGCCAAACTGCAAGTCCCAGGATTCCATAACATTGACCCATGGCAATCTAAATGCTGTTAAACTGCATTTATTCTACAGTGTAAGTGTCCCCTTTCCAAGCTGTAATTACATAATTAGCACTATCTGCTGCTGTCTTGTTTCTTGCTCCAAATCACCTATTGCTATAATCCTCTAAGGAACTTGAATGCCTTCACATAAAATGGACTTGAAGAAGAGATGAGCTAAGCTAGGGGAATGTTTTTCCCCACTTCTAACTGAAATTTGTCTTCAAATTTGTCTGAAGCCGTGATAGCACAATGGGTTAAACCCTTGTGTTGCTGAAGTGCTGAGCTGAAGGTCAGCAGTTTGAATCCTCAAGACGGGGTGAACTCCCATCTGTCAGCTTCAGTTCCTGCCAACCTAGCAGTTTCAAAAACATGCAAATATGAGTAGAGAAATAGGTACCCCTTCAGCAGAAAAGGCAAAGAGAAGCTCCAAGCAATCTTGCCAGCCACACAACCAGGAGGTGACAACGCAGGGTTCTCGGCTTGAAAATGAAGAAAACACCTCCCCAGAGCCAGAGATGAGCACTGCCTCCAGAAGCCAGAAATAAAAGGAGAAGCCTCTGCCTTTGTGTTTGTGTGTCTCATTGCATATGACTGTAAAGACATTGAATGTTTGCCTGTGTATGTAATCCACTCTTAGTCCTCTAGGAAGGGCGGAATATAAATAAAATTTATTATTATTATTATTATTATTATTATTATTATTATTATTATACATGATACTAATCTAGAGTGTGTTGATTCTAGGTGACCTTTTTAAAAAGGTTGAATCACTGATTTACAGGTAGTACTTTTCTATCAACTTACTTGGCAAGCTATGGTAATATTTGGTGATTTGTAGAAGCCTCCTCCTCTTCTTTTGCCAAAAAATATATAGACAAAACCCTAAAAAACATAAAATAAAACTTTTAATAGGTTATAAATACATTTGAGTTCAAATCCATATTTTCCTCATCTTTTCATCACATTAAAATGTGTGGCCAGGCACTCTATGGCACTTCAGACTAATGTAATCAATCCTGTGAGATTTACAGTTATTGCCAGATACAAAGTAAGTAAGCCCTAAGACTGCTAGTCTACTGGTGTGTAGCTTTTTCCTTTCTCTCTTCATTCACCTTGAGGACTATGAAAAAGAGTGTATTTCTAAAGCACTCGCACTGAAAGCACTCCTTCTAATGCACTCATACAATCTGTACTGTAAACTAATCTGTACTGTATCTTACATCAGCATTTTTTTACCCTGTAACTGAGCTCCTGTGACCCTACAGACGGTGCTCCCACTGCAAGATCCAGTACGCCATCCTCGTTGAAATCCAAAGCTGCCAGGGAAGAACCAAACCTTCCTGATGGCTAAAAAGCAAATAAAAAACACACATTATTTGTGCCAATCTTTTTGAAATACATATTGACTTTTAAAAGAAGGTCTGTTTGAATTATGTTTAGCAGGTATCTTTGTGGGATTTGAACATTCATATTTATGGTTCTTTTATTGTAATGAGAATGATATTTAAAGGGGGATTAACCCAGCAAGTATTAAATTTATTTATTTAAAGCATTTATATTCCGCCCTTCTCACCCCGAAGGGGACTCAGGGTGGAGCACAACATATAAACGGCAAACATTCAATGCCAAAACATACTAGACAATACACATATAAAAATATTAAAATCACTTATCTTGACGTTGAAATCCTCTATTTAAAACTGTCTCAAACAACCATATCGAATTTGGTTGGCATACTAAGAGTTCCTATAGCTGCCTCATTATGCAGTTCCAAAGGCTTGGGAGTTATTATTATTATTATTATTATTAATAATAATAATAATAATAATAATAATAATAATAATAATTTATACTCTGCCTTCCTCCTCGAGGGGACTCAAGGAGGCTAACAGTCATATACTTTGATCAATTTAAAACAAATCAAATACAACAATTAAAAAATTAAACAATTAAAAACAATCAAACAATTATAAACAATGAAAAAAAACAAGTTAAAATTATTAAAGTACAAAGCTAAGTTCCTGTGGGATCACTACCACGTATGTGTGTTAAGAGAAAAAAGACTCACCCTCATTCAGTGTTTCTCAACCTGTGGGTCCCCAAGTGTTTTGGCCTACAACTCCCAGAAATTCCAGCCAATTTACCAGTTGTTTGGATTTCTGGGAGTTGAAGGCCAAAACATCTGGGGACCTACAGGTTGAGAACCACTGCAGTTGATTACAATCCACGGGCTGAGTAATTAAGGTCAACAACTTTTAGGCCACTCCCAAAGGGGTATAACTGAGGAGAGTTTGTTGTATGCTTTTGGGATTGCTGAATGTTTGCCTCTGAGCTTACTTGGTGTCAACTCCTGTCTTGCAGTTTATTTGACACTGGCAAGTTTGTCTTCCATGCTCATCTCCACGAAAATAAAATAAAGATTAGGAGTGGGCATAATTTTCTGATGGAAAGCATTGCATGAATTAAATGCAAGGACCATTTGATACTCCAAAGCAGGGGTCCTCAAACTTTTTAAACAGAGGGCCAGGTCACAGTACCTCAAACTGTTGGAGGGCCAGATTATAATTTGGAAAAAAAATATGAATGAATTCCTATGCACACTGCACATATTTTATTTGTGGTGCAAAAAACAACCCTTAAAATCAATAGAAAAAATAAAATGAAGAACAATTTTAACAAATATAAACTTATTAGTGTTTCAATGGAGCCCCCGGTGGCACAGAGGGTTAAACCCCTGTGCCGGCAGGACTGAAGACCGATAGGTCGCAGGTTCGAATCCAGGGAGAGGCGGATGAGCTCCCTCTATCAGCTCCAGCTCCACATGCAGGGACATGAGAGAAGCCTCCCACAAGGATGATAAAACATCAAATCATCCAGGCATCCCCTGGGCAACTTCCTTGCAGACGGCCAATTCTCTCACTCCAGAAGCGACTTGCAGTTTCTCAGGTCGCTCCTGACACAACAAAAAAAAGTATTTCAATGGGAAGTGTGGGCCTGCTTTTGGCTTATGATATAGGATTGGTGTTGTTGTGTGCTTTCAAGTCATTTCAGGCTTCCAAGTCTCTCAAAGTGAGACTTGGAAGAAAACTTTTTTAGTTTCAAGAATCAGCATGAATTTGACTGGAAGAAACTCAAAAGACACCAAATCCCCTCTGATCTTGGAAGCTAAGTGGTTTTGGTTAGTACAGGAATGGAGGAATACAGTCACAAATACAGTCAACCACCCTGAGCGAGGGCCAGGCAAACGACCTTGAAGGCCTTAGTTTGAGGACCCCTGCTCCAGAGGAATTGTGACTGTATTATTACTAAAAAGTTTGTGTTGGTGTTGCAGTTTTTTCCACGAGCTCTCCTGCACAAGAGTAAAATTTAAGTTTTGTATTTCTTCTATTTGTGTTGTTCTTTTTTGAATATACAAAGGACTAATCTTCAACTGGTCTGCACGCATCATCAAACAGTTCAAAAATGACTCTGGTAATGGCATTTGAAATATATGCAATAGCTCTTATGGTGGACTTATACGTTTCATAGCGTTTTCTTAGGCAAGGAATATTCAGAAATAGTTTTGCCAGTTCCTTCCTGAGAAATATAGACAGTACCGTAGTTGTTGGTAGTCCTCCATTCCTGTACTAACCAAAACCACTTAGCTTCCAAGATCAGAGGGGATTTGGTGTCTTTTGAGTTTCTTCCAGTCAAATTCATGCTGATTCTTGAAACTAAAAAAGTTTTCTTCCAAGTCTCACTTTGAAAATGCAGATCATCAGTGAACTGTACTGATCACTATTAGAAGACAGAAATCCTCCACCAACTATAAAACACCCCTTTTTTATAACAGCTGTATCTACATAGATTGATCTAATCTGCAACCTTTGGGACAATGACGCAATGCTCTGGAAATGTCTTTTTCACATTTTTATAGCCAACTTCCTGGCTTTCTATGTTATTTAAGACAACGCTAATGTTTAGTGGTTAGGTATCAATGTTTGCACAGAAAATAAACTGGCAAATTTTCCTACCTTACTCCCTTCCAGTATTTCATCTGCTTCTTGGTCTAGGTCCAAGTCAGTGTGAGGTAATCCTGATTTGTTTCCATAAATAATATATACACGTCCTATCTGAATGTGTCCGATGCGACTATATCCTGGTGCTCCAGCAACTAGATCATCATATCCATCCTGGTTTAGGTCAGCTGAAATCACTGCCCTGCATATAAAATAATGTACTTTCAACAGTTGTTTGGTTTATATTTGTTGACGCAACCATATTTTGCTTTGTAGATTTCAAACCTTGTAACACATTTAGCCAACTGAGACATATACCTTATTAAGTTTTTACCTAAATCAGAAATATTTGTGTGTTAAATATGACTTTACTGATGGGTGAGTAAAATGTTGATGGGCAGAGCAGAAACAGATATTCCATTTGAGCTATAAACTGAAAACTAACTTACATCTATTGTGGAGAACATCCTTGATACGTTTATAATTCACTGACCTACTAGAGCAGGCCTGTCAATCTCATTTTTCACCAAGGGTCACATAAGCCTTGTGGCTGCCTTCAAAGGGATGTTTGTAATTGTAAAACTGTATATTTTTGGAGAAACACCCTGAATATAGATAGATTCAGACAGACAGTAACACACAAATATACAAACACATTCAAATATATAGGATGTTGAGATGTGTGTGTGTATAGATGCCATATATACTCGAGTATAAGCTGATCTGAATATAAGTCAAGGCACTTAATTTTACCACAAAAAACTGGGAAAACTTATTGACTCAAGTATAAGCCGACAGTGGGAAATGCAGCAACTGGTAAATTTCGGGGGAAAATAGATACCAATAAAATTACATTAATTGAGGCATGAGTAGATTAAATACTTTTGAATATTGAGATAAAACTGTAATTTAAGAGGAGATCATCCAACTCTGATTACCGTATATATTCAAGTATAAGCCGACCTGAATATAAGCCTGCCAGGACCCTCACTCTAGTATAAGCCAAGGGGAGCTTTTTCAGCTCTGAAAAAGGGTTGAAAAACTCAGCTTATACTCAACTATATATGGAACATACAGATAGACACACATAAATAAAAGTACACACAGACATATAAACACACACACATGTATGAGATGTTGAGATGTGTCTATATAGATTTATCAAAGTGTAGTGATACTGTGTTACATATTGCTACACAAAGAACCTAGTATAATGTATGTATGTTTGTGTGTATATATTCATACACATATATTGCTTGGGATGTAAGTCTATTTTACATTATTACTGTAGTGTTACATAGTGCATTATTTATACAGATACACATAGAGAGATGTTGAAAGAGATGCACACACATACAAACAACCCCAATTTGATTAAAAGTAAGGGCTTTCGGCATGGAATCTACAACACCAGTTGCAACTGCCGTACATTATTGTTGGCCATACAGTTCAAATCCACTGCTCTGCATCCTACCTACTAGGCCAGGGGTGTCAAACTCATTTTCACTGAGGGCTACATCAGCCTTATGGTTGCTATCAAAGGACTATTTGTAAAAGAGGGGCGAGGATAACAACGTCTGGACTTCGCGGACCACATAAAAATGATGTGGCAGGTTGAATTCAGCCTGTGGGCATTGAGTTTGACACATGCACATTAGAGAAATCATGTATGACCCAGATAAAACAATTATATTTCTAAATTACTGACATTTTTCTAAATTAGAAAATTAATGTCAGTTGATCTAGCACACAAACAAAAATCAGCACTTGCCATCCAAGTTTAGCATATGGTGTTTTCAGAAAATATGAAGCAGTAGGTTTGGTGATGTGATTAGAAGACTCTTGCTGTGTGATTGTCAGTATACTTGTCAACCCCGTTGCAGCAGCACTATTTCGGAAGTAAAGATAATTCTGAAAAAAATGTAAAACGAAATAATATAGCACATTAACTATCATTATTGGTTGGCAGGTTAGTAAGAACTAGCCTTTAAACTAATACCTCCACAATGCAATTATAAAATACTTCCATTCTAAGATCCTATATATATATATATATATATATATATATATATATATATACATACATACATACATACACACACACACACACACACACACCTCTCTAAAAATGGAGTACATCTTAAAATTGCAGGTGTGTCTTACGTATTTATTGGTGGAGATTGTACTGAAATTAAATTGTGTCTTACAATCTATGGTGTTTTACAATCAAAGAAATACAGGATAACTAAAACATCAGCATCAAATATTTCACAGAACAGCATCGGTAAGAGTTTAAAATGTGGGCATTTATTTAATACAACCTGGAACAATCACATCTTTGAACCCTGATTTAAATCAGAGAAGAATTGCATCATTTTGTAGAGCATATCCAATCTATGGGGTCATCACTTACAGCAGTGGTTCTCAACCTGGGGTCCCCAGATGCTTTTGGCCTTCAACCCCCAGAAATCCTAACAGCTGGTAAACTGGCTGGGATTTCTTGGAGTTGTAGGCCAAAAACATCTGGGTACCTCAGGTTGAGAACCACTGACTTACAGGCTCTGTGCTCTGCAGTCACTAGTCTAACAGATCTTGCCAACAGATCTATCTGTGACTCATTGATGAAAATTTATATAGATACAGATGGTTCTTAAAATAACTTGATCAGGTTTTAGAGGTGATGGCTAGGACTTTAAAAACTGAGCCCTTACATACATGACAGATCAGTGCAAGCAGTACAGAACCCGTGTTTGTATATCAGATTACATAATTTCTGAACGCAACTAGGTAGCTGGACTTTCTGCACCAAATGGAGCTCCAAAGTATCTTAAAAGATAGCCCCATCTCAAGTGTATTACAGAGAGCAGGATGTGGAAAACTGTAGCAAGGTGAACTTTTCTAATAGGAAACCAACTAGTAAATTGGCCAATTGCAAACAAAAATATTAGTAATAACCTGTGCTGCCCCCAATAACACAAAATCCATGAGGATCCTCTAAGACAGTGGTTCTCAACCTGTGGGTCCCCAGGTGTTTTGGCCTACAATGCCCAGAAATCTCAGCCAGTTTACCAACTGTTAGGATTTCTGGGAGTTGAAGGCCAAAACATCTGGGAACCCACAGGTTGAGAACCACTGCTCTAAGAAAAGTCCAACAATAGTGTAATCCAGAGCAGCAGATTGAAAATGAGGAAGAACACAAAAGGCAAAGTGTAGGTCATCTACACATGCCTAACATCTGAAACCAGTCCTCTGAATGATTTTTCCCAGTGGCTCCATAAAGATGTTAAAATGCCTGGGTGATATGCTTGGATTACCAAGCTCAAGCAACTTGTGTGTGATGGTCACAGTAAAGATTAAAAAATATAAACACTTTCAAAAGCTATTGTAGAGTGAGCACTAAAAGTGATCAAAATAAGAATTAGTTAACTATGTAATCTATATGTGCAATATTTTGGGACATAAAACATTATCTTATCAAATGAACTAATCACTGTATTATTAATACATCTTCAAATACCCCTATTCATTTCTAGATGTCAGAAAGACTTACAGTTGCCCAAGCTGGCATATCAAAATAAACTCCTCTCTCTGTATAGTTGATATTCTTCTCAACTGATTTGGCCAGGGAAGATGTTTTGTTGCTACGGTGCTCCGTTTTGGAAAATCTACTCCTACTGAATGAAGAGAATAATAATTAAATGGCATATATCAGCATATCAGCTTTAAGATGCTTGTAACAAACTCCCTCTGCTCTAGAAGGTGGAATTCCAATTCCAAATACAACAGCCTAAGATAAAAGATGTAGATGAGCAAAATTTTATCTCTTCGGATAATGTGAATCTCATTGCCCCCTTTTTTGGAGAAGGATGCCATCCAGGCCCGACATTCCTGGCCATGAGGACACGTGAACGCCCTGGGACTCAGCTCTGAGTAGACACATGTCAAGGCTTGCATTTATAATTGTATTCAAAGCCCTACTACTGAACGATGTGGGGGGGGGGGGAGTTGGATCTACAGGCAATAGAAACAGTACAAACACCCGAGTTACGAACGACTCATAGTTAAGAACAGGAAGTGAGAAAAATCTAATCTACCCCTCTGAGAGCCCCCAGTGGCGCAGTGGGTTAAACCACTGAGCTGCTGAACTTGCTGACTGAAAGGTTGGCAGTTCGAATCCAGGGAGCGGAGTGAGCTTCTGCTGTTAGCCCCAGCTTCTGCCAACTTAGCAGTTCGAAAACATGCAAATGTGAGTAGATCAATACCTTTTGTGGGAAGGTAACAGTGCTCCATACAGCCATGCTGGCCACATGCTCTTGGAGGTGCCTATGGACAACGCCAGCTCTTCGGCTTAGAAATGGAGATGAGCACTACCCAGAGTCAGACATGACTAGACTTAATGTCAGGGGAAACCTTTACCTTTACCTATTATAAATAGTAAAGGTTATTCAGAGAACTAAATAAATTAATTTCCTACATGAAATTTATACTTACCTAGTGGGATACCTCTGCTCATCTGTACATCGAATATACAAAGGATTCTCGGGGATAAAGCATCCACTAAAAAAAAAATTCAAATAAATATGCTAAATACATACTTTATGGTTCTGCCAACTCTAATCCAGCCATTTTGTAATCATGGATTTAATACTAGTCTAAGAGATGTTCAAAGTTTAGGGATTTAAAAAATGCAAATCCTGATTGATGGTGATACACAACTGCCGGTCCACTTCCGAGCACAATTCAAAGTGTTGGTCTTGGCCTATAAAGTCATATACGATTCCGGCCCAGCTTACTTGTCCAAACATACCTCCCTCTACATCCCACCTAGGGGTTTAAGATCACCCGGGGAGGCCCTGCTCTCGATCCCACCTTTTCACAAACGCGTTTGGAGGGGACGAGAGACAGGACCTTCTCAGTGGTAGCCCCCCACCTGTGGAATACGCTCTCCAGCTAAATTAGGTCAGCTCCATCCCTCCTTTCCTTTAGAAAGAAGCTCAAATCATGGTTTTGGGACCAGACAGCAATTGCAATGTTTTTGAGAAATGACTATGGACAGGCTTTGGACTGGGTCGTCGGTTGCTGAATCGGACTTAGATATGGCTATATGGTTGATAACGTTTTAAATGGATTTTAATCTAATGTTTTTACCTATTTTGTAATGTCATGCTGTATTGTGTTTTTGTATGTTGGCCTCCAATTGTTGCCACTGTAAGCCGCCCTGAATGCCTCCAAGGGGGTTGAGAAGGATGGGTTGCAAATGTTTGAAATCAATAAATAAATAAATTTATCCTTGTCCCCCCTTTTGATCTACTTGAAATTGTTTGCTTAGACATGGTATTCTCTGGAATCTTCCATAAACCAGTGCATTTAATCTGAGAACCTGTGGAACTGGAACTGCACAAAAAGGGGCTCCACTGAACCAATTATGTGACTTTTGGTGTTTTTTAGGCATGTTACAGCAAATGGACTGAATACTTATGCAAAAAACAAATGGTGGAGGAGGGGAGAGTTATATGATTTTCACAAAAATACATTTTACATAGCACTGCATGTGCACCATGTATTAGAACCAATGCTGTTTGACAAATTAGTCTAATTCCAATCTTGTTTATTTCATGAATATTAAATCAGCACTTTACCTGGTCCCATTTGCTAATATTTGACTTGTTTGCTGGAAAATGTTATTTGATGCAAATGCCATATCATCCACGCCACCAAGAAAATAGTCATGGAATTTATCAACCAAAAATGGGGACTTCCTGGCATAAATAGGGTATATCTATGGAAAGAGAAACTTTATTTTGGAAAATGAGCATTTAGAGAATACACTCTACTAAACTTTTAATTATATACATTACCTTGGCAATACCAATCACTTCACCATATCTGTGGGAGAAAAGAGATTATTACTCTATTTCTGTAGAACTTTTAAATGCACAAAAAGCTTCTTAAAATACATCTTTACTTTAAGGGGCTGCGGATGGCGCAATGGATTAAACACTTGTGATGCTGAACTGCTGAACTGAAGGTTGGCAGTTCAAATCCGTGGGATGGGGTGAGCTCCCTCTGTTAGCCCACTCTGAGCTGTAATGGGGTGAGCTCCCATTGTTAGCTCACTCTGAGCTGTAATCTGCTCTGAGTCCCTTGGGGAGAAGGGCAGAATATAAATAAAGTGTTGTTATTATTATTATCTGTATATAACTAGTGGCACAGCGGGTTACACTGCTGACCTGCTGAGCTTGCTGACTGAAAGGTCGGTGGTTCGAATCCTGGGGCTAACAGTGGGCGAGCTCCCACTGTTAGCCCCAGCTTCTGCCAACCTAGCCGTTTGAAAACATGCAAATATGAGTAGATCAATAGATACTACTCCGGCAGGAAGGTAACGGCGTTCCATGCAGTCATGCCAGCCACATGACCTTGGAGGTGTCTACGGACAACGCTGGCTCTTCGGCTTAGAAATGGAGATGAGCACCACCCCCCAGAGTTGGACACAACTAGACTTAATGACAAGGGGAAACCTGTGCCTTTACTATATCTGCTTTGGTTTTATACAAAATAAAGAGTAAATCAGAATTTTCTCTATTGCTTTTGATTAATAACAGCTTAGCATTTTCTAAAGATGTAGTCATGTTAGTCTCTTGAATGTCAAATGTACAGGGTCTTGTCCCTGTGTACCTGAGCATACATTAGCACTATGTACTATATTAGAAAACGTGAGTTTATATCCACAAAAGTTCATGCAAAAATAAAATCCAGTTATCCTTAATGGTGCAGCTACATTCCTTTTTCCTTCTCCCCACCCTTCCCTTTTGTATGCTCAGCTAGGCATTATTACTATGTAAAGAAACTATAATTAATCACCAAGGTTCAAAAATAACAACAAACTGTGGGTCCATAGCTAGGGAAAAAAGCAAGCAAAGGCATTCAGAACCACTGAAACTCCATCAGAGGGACTGAGGGGAAAGAAAAAAAGCATAAAGGCTCACAGTGGTTTATTTCCACACCAACATGCCACTATTTGTAGTAATCTCCAAATGCAACGTTTGTGAAGAAATATATTGAGACAGTATAATGAGCTATAAAACATAAGTAGGATCCCAGAGACCTGAAACAAATTATTTTGATTATACTGTAAATAGTCTTTGTTTCAGTTAAAAAACAATAATTCACTATCCAACTTTATCTTTTAAGAAAACAGCCCCATACTATCCTGTGAAATAAATTAAAAAGTGGGGCAATAATTACTCCTCCATAAGCACCAATGTGTATTTTAAGAATATTAAACTTCTGCCTGCTCCTTTTGCTTCCCTATGGAAGCAAAAGGATCTGCCTAATTATACTCCCATTTTACACTATACCTTACCATTTATTCAATCTTCATTCTGTATGTGTAATTGACCATTAACTATTTATTTGATTAGGCCCAATAATTGCTATTTGAATTCACCAAACATACAATTATTCCATCATTTTCTTCACTTATTTTTGAAACGAAGCCAGAAAAATTTCAATTGACTTACAGCTCTATGAACTGGAGATATGTGCAATCAACAATAGTCTCTTCTGTTATGACTTCCTGGCCATATAATTCCATATAAATTGACAATAAATCCTTGACAGGTACATACCTACAATGTGATAACACCATATTTTTTTTAAAAAAATCTAAGTTAATAGTTAAGTGATATCATGAAATATTTAAAGCAATATCCTGATCTCCAAATTCTCAGAAAAAAATTAAAATTACAGGAGCAGGACACTGGATATACACATTTATAAAGTTCACAATGTGAAGCACATGAAGGTGGTTGAGGACATTCTTTGCATGTAAACTGTCCCAGGCGTCTTAAAGCTTGGCAAAGATTTAATACTCCACAGCCTCTATTATTCAGCCATAAAAGGGAATAATGAGCTTAATCAATGATCTGACACAGTAAAAGATGATTTCCAAAAACCAACTTAAAAGTAGCAGTACAAGAATGTGAGGCATTCCAAAGCATAATTTTGTTTTTCTCCTAAACTAAATGCAATGAAGATTGCTGCAACATCTCAAAAACTCACATGTTTATTATTGTCATACGATATGAAGGCTATGTGGGATTTCAACCATGGCCTGGTGCAGCACTTTCTACAACACAGTAGTTGTTCTCAAGCACCACATTGAATAGGAACAGTGTGCCATCGACCTTTAGGAACCGACTCTCCTCATCAGCCCAGCTTTCTTGCTCTTTGCATCATTATAGGTATGTATGTATAAGTGCAGGCATTGAAAATCAAACTACTAATCTAGTTTCAAGTTTATTTGATGCTTAGACCATAGGTCTTTCACATATAAGGCTAAGATCAAGTGTAACTATTATTCTAGCATCTCTTACCAGCTTTGTGCCAGATAATCAAAATCAAGTTCAAATTGGCTTAACACATCACCACCTAAAATTGCAGAGAAAAGAACCATAAGACATCAACATACTATAGAAAAAAATAACAGTTTTGCCTTTGTTTTCTATTTAGAGCATTTTTAAATACATAATCTTGACCATAATTGACTCAGCTGCCACAGAAAGGCTTTGTACTTGGACTTCCTTCTTCTTCTTCATAACATACAGTCAGCAAACCCAATTCCTTGGGGTTAGAAGTACAGGATCCCCACAAAAGTGGTAAAATCAATTAATTAGTTTACTTATTTCAACATACTTACAGTAAATGGCATAGTTGCTATGTTTAAACATTTGAAAGAATGTCATAAGGAAGAGGTAGCACGCTTGTTTTCTACTGCCCTGGAAACTGGGATTCAAAGCAATTGGTTCAAATTACAGGAAAGGAGATGCCACTTGGACATTAGGAAGGACCTCCTAACCATGAAAGTTGTTGAGCAGTGGAACTGTCTGCTTCGGAGTGTGGTTGAAGCTCCTTTCTTGGAAACTTTTAAACAGAGGCTGGATGGTCATCTGTCAGGGGTGCTTTGATTGTGCTTTTCCTGTATGACAGAGAGTTGGCCTAGATGGTGATGTAGTTTCTTCCAATTCAGTGGTTCACAACCTTTTTTTGACCAGGGACCACTTGACCAAAGGCCAGTTTGATCAGTACCAAAAGGATTACACATCAGTTTTTGGTCAACTTTAGATTTGGTTTGGTTATTTGGGGTGCTGATTCAGAATATTGAATTGGATAGACCACATCAGCTCTAGTTTGTCATACAAAACATGCCATTCAGTAGTCGCCACCTGCTCGCCCACAGAAAACCATATTTAATAATCTAGAGATCATGTGGTCTATCCAAGGGGACGGGTCAGAGACAGGGAAGAAGTGGAAGGCAATGCAAAATGAGCAGAAATAAAATAAAATAAAATAAGATAAAATGAAATGAAATGAAATGAAATGAAATAAAGAGGAAGGAGGTTCGTGGACCAGATTTTCATCTTCGTGACCCACAAGCTAAGAACCACTGTTCCACCTCTATGATTCTATGATTCTTTGAAAAGTCCTGTATAAATCGAGGGCAGATTTTGGGATCAAAATCATGGATTTTGGACCTATAGATAGGTCAAGTGCCATTCCATAGAGAATGGAAAGCACCTATGCTGTCTTGTGGGTAACAGTTATCCCGGATTGCTGCTACTGTTTTCTGATCCAGGCATTCAAAAAGCTGTCCCCATGCTGTGGTAGAAAGAGTCACTCAGCAATGGCTCGTTTTTTAAAAAAATGAGAGTTAAGGTACAATGGTAAGATTGACCCATGGATAAGTTGACGCAGTTTTTTTGGGATCAAGTTTTTACTAAAATTTATAGACTTATATATGAGTATACAGTAATCTTAGAAAATGTCCAAAATTTGAGTAAAACTTTTCAGAATTCATAGTAACGTAAATTACCAAAATCACCAGCAGAATGAGCATCTGCGTATGAGCCATGAAAATCAATCTAGAGGAAAGAAAGAAAGAAATTGTTAATAATCCACAACTGATTTGCACTATAAACTTTCAGTTGACAATTAAAGTGCCATTAAACTGCATTAATTCAACAACAGTCTTTTTTATTTCAAACAAAGGATCCCAACAGCATCTGTGCAACACCTCTATTTACTCTGCTCAAGGCAAGAAAAAAATTGCTTTTAAATTTAATTTAGTACTGAGTTCATTGTTGCTTTTAAATTTTATTTTGTACTTTTTAATTATTTCATTCACAGGCTGCTAATTTCATCGGCCCCTTTTTATTTTTATTTTGTTCTCTTACTCCTCCTGCCAGTTTTCCATTCACTCCAGCCTCTCATTCTTTTTAGGAATCCTGAAAAAAATCCATATACTCCACCACTCCATTCTCAAACCTATGAATATAAAGGAAAATGATTTTCCTAACAAATACAACAAAATCCACTTACGGCTGCCATGGCTCGTAGAAATCCTTGATCAATCCCCAAGCTATGCCAGCTCACATCTGCCACCATATGAGAAGCAATTCCAAAGAGGAAAGCCACCAGCTTCTCTGTAGCCTAAAGAGTAATTACGAAAAGCACTTAACTTGACAGCAACTTTACTGAAGCAAACTCAGAAACGTAATCAAGAGAAACAAACTTTTGAGGTTATACCTTTTACCTCATCTGATCATTGGTGAAAGCTTACCATTTTCATCAGCACAAGGGATGGTGAGTGAAAATAAGTTATATATTTATACAGCAGTATCAATATGCACCAGAGGTAGAAATTCCTGCTCAACCACTGGGCGACCATGGTCAAGCCATCCTTTCTCGTGATAGGGCTGCCATAAATCATTCAAAAAACTACAAGTATATGTTACTTCAAAGGCCCAATGGAAAACTTCAGTAAACTATGACAGGTGCTTTTCTTTTCTTCAACTTTTGTTTACCAGAGTTAAACAATGCACATAAACAAACCTTTCACAAATCAGATAGAATTAGGAGAGATAGATGTCTTGCTCCATTTTATAGCTGGCTATCACAAAATATCCCATCCATTTGAGATTTTTTTCACTATATGAACATGATTCTATGATTCTAAGTGACTATGCAAGTGAAATTAGCATGATTTGTGAGGATAACTTGATTTTAGAATGATAACATTTAAGCCTTCAGCATGAGAAATTGACAGGTAATTTATTACCTTTTCCCAGGGCTGTGGATAGTTTTTTCTGATGTAGTGGACACTGGCATTGAGGAAAGGTGACCAATGAGTATCTTCAGATACTTGATGGAATATGCCTATAATGCCAGCAAATAAAATTGAATTATAAAAAGAATACCTTTATTCCTCCACGTTTTTACTTTTATTCATTGGAATTTTGGAGCTCCCAAACAGTTTTTCAAAGGCAGCCCCACGTAGAGCACATTGCAGTAGTTGCACTCTATAATATAATGCAGCTTCTCCTCAAATGAATCACCAGAATTAATCTGCATACAGGGCTACTACACAGTTTTCTTAAGGGACACAAAATAGTTAAAAGTGATACCAACTAGCTGCAAAGGTCTTATTTGTAGATCCCAAGGCTCCCACGCACAATTTTAATTTTTGTAAATATGTATGTAAATATCACATGAACTCTAGAGCTGTGTGGTTTTGCAGTTCCTATGTCCAACTATTTTAAACCCAGGGAGAGCTGTGACCAAGTTCAATTTGTTTGGGGAGGAAGGCAGTCAAAACTGTGTTTCCCATAACTTCTACAATGTGTGGAGGCAAAAATTAAGAGTGTCTCTTCAAGATCCAGTGACAGACGTGTGCAGCACCTAAAATTTAGGTAGCTGCTTTTCTGTTGCTTGTTATTGTCCTAAGCATCCAATTGTCCTAGGTGAGCCCCCTTCTACTTGCTTTTCCTGCTCAATTACAATTTGTCTATATTGATCTATAGACAGCTAGTATATAAGCACTAACCATTACTGCCAAATGAATGTCTACACTAGCTTTTCAGAAGCTCTTTGAGGAACACAGGATAAAAACAGTATCTCTCCAGTTTCTTACCATTCTTGCAAATACCAGAATAGAAGGCATCAGGATATAAACTTCCAGCCTGATATGCATCTTGGTGAGTTAGTAATAACTGGACACAAGGAAAAAGAGGAAAGTGAAATCAAAAACATTAAAGGAAAGTACTCTTACAAGCATTTGATGCACAAACAATAGCATGGGACCTGGGAAATCTGGATTCAAATCCGTAACGAATATTGAAATTGACTTGGTGTCCTTGGGTCATTCTCAATGAAACCAACCTCAAGGGCATACTGTGAGGGAAATGGGGAGGAAGAATGCCATGTACAGTATGCTATCTTAAGCTCATTTGACGGAAGGCTGGGGAGACTCACAGAAGAACATGACAGAGTTAAAACGTTCTATATGATTCATTTCTATCATCCTGTTCACAAAGGTATAGCTCATCTGATCAGAGGTCAAAGTTCGTGGCACCTTGGATAATCTGATTCATACAACAATTTTTCAAGAGACTATATCCATTTCTAAATCCATGCATGCTAGCCAGGCACATAATCTATACGTGAGTTATGTCTTATATTTTGAGTAGAATTGAAATTAGCAGTCTATTGAAATCTCTCAACTTTTCCACCCAAATCAACAAGCAAAATGTTAGTAGCGATACATTAATTCTGATTTAGTACTAAGATGGGAGAGTGCTGATGGATATCAGGTGCTGCAAGTTGTATTTCAGAAGAAGGAACTGGCAAACCATTTCTGAGTGTCCCTTGCCTAAGAAAACCCCATAATGAAATCCATGGGGTTGGTACCAGTCGACAGGTAACTTGAAGGCATATTAATACAGAGAATGTGATTAGCTATGAGTGATACACTTCATAAAAGAAAGTCAATGCAGCAAGTCTCTTGTTAAATACTATTTTCTGACATATGCAATTCTATGCAAAATATTTCAGTCTAAATAAACATTGTCCCAATTTCTATGGGCAAATGTTGACAAGAAGGATTAATATTCCAATGCATAATAATAACTGTGATTACCTGAGAAAATTAAAAGCACATTAGTCTCCCAGCCTAATGGCATTTCACATTTCACTCTAGTGTCTTCTGAGTGATCATTAATGACAATTGTTTCATTTTATAATAACCAAAAAGTCAGTGTTCTTCCATGTGGGTGATTAATATCATAAATACAACTTTGAACTGTACTGAATAGCATCACAATATCTGTGTTTTAAGTAAGTTGGAATGAGAAATAGATGTCAGGCTCTTTCAGATGTTTCACAGATTGAATAAACTAAACATAAATCCAAGAAGGTAAACTGGCAAAAATAATGTGCATCACAATGCTATTGAAAAACATAATAAGCCTCCTACCTCACGGTAGTTAATGTTTCCTTCTTGTTTGCTCAAAAATTCCAGAGCTCTGTGAGCTGGAAAAAGATAAATAACTAGTTAAAATGTTCATGATGGAAGATAACATGGTGTGCTACACATCTGGGTCTGATCAAAACAAATTCTGACAACATTCGAACATAATGCATTTAGATCACCATGGAACTGGCTCCTTCGTATCATATATTTAAAATAAAGACATCACAAACTATTATTCGGTTTGTTGGAATCTGGTTTGATGTGATATACAAATTTTAAGATAGATTGCAGCAAATAACAACCACTCAAAACCACAAAAATAAAACAAAAACAAAAATTAAATAGTACTGTGCGGATATAAGATTAAACTACAGTTAAAATATAATAAATATCATTACAATTATGTTTAAAACACAATTCCTTCCAGAATTCAACCCACAACCTCCTGAGCAGTGCGTCCCTTATCCTTCCCCAAATGCCTGATGGCAAATAAATGTCTCAATCTTCCTGTGAAAAACAAGCAGTGATGGGGCCATCTTGGTCTCTCTTGGGAAGGAGTTCCACACTCTGGGAGCAGCCACCAAAAAGGCCCTCTCCCTTGTTCCCATCAAAAAGGCCCTCTCCCTTGTTCTCATCAAATGCCCTTGAGTAGGTAGTGAAGCAAGACAAAGACCCTCCCCAATTGATCATGAATATCTGACAGGTTTGAAGAAAGAGATACAGTCCTTAAAATAGCCTGGACCAAAGCAAAAGAGGGCTTTGTGGGTCAAAATCAGGACTTTGAACTGTGATCGGAAATGGATTGGCAGCCAGTGGAGCTGTTGCAACAGAGGAGATGTCCGCTCCCTGTAGCCAGCCCATTAGCAGTCTGGCTGCTGCTCTCTAGACCAACTGAAGTTTCCAAGTACTTATCAAAGGCATCTCCATGTAGAGGGCATGACAGTAGTCCAACCAGGATGTAACCAAGACATGGACCATCATGACCAGATCCGATTTCTCCAGTAACAGGTGCAACTGTCAGATGTTGGTTTAGCACAGGAACCGCTTCCTTGAAATTGGGTGGAAAGGAATAATAGAGTTGGGTGTCATCTGTGTATAGATGTCACCACACTCCAAAACTCTAGATGCCCTCTCCCAGTGGGTTTGTGTAGATGTTAAATAGCATGGGAGACACATTTGTTTTACCTACATGTCTTTTTTCCAGACCATTCTGCTGGACCCTTCTGGAGGTAGATAAGGAGATGCCAAAAAATGCTGGAGGAATTTATCTCATAGGGAAAAAAACTTAGATACTGTATCAATGTTAGATCTTCTCCAAACACTACAGATGGTATTTATAGTTCTCTTTTTTTTAAAAAAAAAAAAAAGCCTGTCAAATTAAACAATGATTAGTAATGATGGTTCGGTTTACTGGACTAATATGGAAGGAGGGACACGATTTGTAATCATACATTGGTGTTGACAGAAGATTTTTGCACCCCAAAATCTTATCCATAGTTATAAATCCAGGCATCTGATCTGGAATAACAGAGAACATATACATAACTGCTTATTTATCAATTAATAATTTATTTCATGGATCATCAGTCAAAACAATAGTATGGATGCAAAGAACATTTTCCAATTCAAAATCACTTGGTTGGGTTGGATAAGATTGAAACATATCATCATTGCGATCGGCAAGATTTTCTGCAACTAGCTTTAGCACAGTGGGTTGAACTGCCAGCTGCAGAAAATCTTGTTGATCGAAAGGTCAACAGCTCAAGCCCGGGTTGGGGTGAGCTCCCAGCCATCATCCCAGCTTCTGCTCACCTAGCAGTCTGAAAACAGTAATGTGAGTAGATAAATAAGTACTGCTTTGGTGTGGAGGTAATAAAAGGCACTCATGCAGACTTGTTGGTGATTTGATCGGGAGAGCATCTAAAGACAACAAAGCTCCTTGGCATGGAAGATGGAGTGAAAGAACTCCCTTAGCCAGAGTCAAGCACAGCCTCCAGATGTCGGAGATGGGAAAAGATGGGAAGCCTTTACCTCTGTTTATGTACTGTCTGTCTTTGTTAATTGTATAATCGGTACTGAATGTTTGCCATATATTTGTATTATAATCTGCCCTGAGTCCCCTCAGGGAGATAGGGCAGAATATAAATAAAGTACAGTAGAGTCTTGCTTATCCAACATAAATGAGCCAGCAGAATGTTGGCTAAGCAAAAGTGTTGAACAATAAGGAGGGATTAAGGAAAAGCCTATTAAACATCAAATTACATTATGATTTTACAAATTAAGGACCAAAACATCATGTTTTACAACCAATTGATAAAAAACAGTTCAATACATGGTAATTATGTAGTAATTACTATATTTATGAATTTAGAAGCAAAAAATTGCAATGTATTGAAATAGTTGTGGATCCGGGCGGGAGGCAGACTGCGTTAATACAGATAATACAGAATGTTGGATGAGCGAAGGTTGGATAAGCAAGACTCTACTGTATATTATTATTAGTATTACTATTAACATATAACGAATCAAACTGCAGGAGACTCCAATTATCAGATTTGAGTTGGTTGGTATTATCCGTCAGTTAGAAATTCACAGAGGTGAATTACTTTTTTTTCTTTTTCTAGATAGTCATGCACTGTTATGTAGCAAATGCTTAATCACACAAAATTTGTTTGTCATGTGTAATCAAATCACCCAAAATTAGAAACATGCCAATGATTTCAACATTCAAACATAGTTCCAAGAAGTTTTGATTTCAACAATCAAACATAGTTTTACGGGAACTCTGTTTGAATTTTGAAATCAATACTCATTCAAACATAGTTTTACGAGAACTATGTTTGAATGTTGAAATAAAAACTTCTTGATTTCAACATTCGAACATAGTTCAGTGAGCTTTTGCATTTGGCATGGTACAAGAAATTGACCATGAATATAAGGCATACCAAAGGAGAAACCAGAGAAACCTGGTTTGTTGGACAATCCCATTACATCATGAATTTTGGAAGGACTTTCTGATAACATAAATACAACATTAATCCTTTTGATAGAATCTCTAATGATGCTCCTAACTGACAGAACTTTGATAGAATCTTGAAACTACATTTGTCGAATTAATACGCTGGGCATTAATACTTTATTTATTCTCAAGATGTCATTCTTGATGTGCTGTCTTAAAATGTTTTCCATCAAAATATTTTCTTAAGTAAAAAAAAAGAAAAAAGAAAAAATGGCAAATTGTTAAACAAATAGCATTGGTAGTTTATTTATATAATTATAAAAATGATGTGAGGTAGGAATAAATATTTTCCAACCCCTATCATGTTTGTTTTCAGAAATTTTCAAATTTGGCATAGATGTATTCAATTTGCAAGAGACAGTTGGAGAGACTTAGAAAGCATTCAACATCTTAATGAATGTACACACAAAATAATCTTGGCAGTTGAGACTCAACAAAGAGTTTTCAATATGAATGAGTACACATTTTCATTGTGTTGACACACACTTTGCATTGTTTGTATCTGAGTCTAGTCTTTTAGCAATTTCTGGATGCAATATGCCAGATCTTTGCAAACAATTTCAAAATGACAAGGTATTTTATATAAATACAGTACACACACATACCATATACATATATACACACACTATGTTGCAGTAGAGTGTGCTGGTCAAGCTACAACTGGTAGTAGAAAGGGTAAGAGGGCTGCTCAGGTGTTGGAGCAAGAGCAGCAAAGGAAACGAATTAGGGAGATATTCATGACACCTACAGATACTGATTCGTTCAAAGGTTTCTCAGATTCTGAAATGGAGGAGGGAGATGGGGGCAGAGGTTTGAAGCGGGTTACTCGGGAGCAAGAGTCAGATGAAGAACGGGAAAGGAAACGCATCCGTGAAATACTTAATGCTCCAACTGAGGAGGAAGATTTTATGGGGTTCACGGGGAGTGATGGGACTGGGAGTGATAACAAAGAGTGCTGGATTGGACCCATGTGCAAGAAATCAGGGACATATGTGCACAACCAACATCTAGTGATGAGTTTGAAGGGTTTTCTGGAGATTGGCAACCTGGTAATACATGGGGTGATCTAAGTCTTGATAGACGCTGGAAAAGTTGGAGGGATGGGCGGTGGCGATCAGCTGTGGAAGCTAAGGCACCTGAGAGTGATGAAGACAGGGCGGAGAGCAGTTCATCATCCGATGAGTTTAGGATAAAAGTAGGTATCAATCTATGGGGACTTTGCAGTAGACAAAGTGTTGTATTCGTGTTTGGGACTTTGTTGCTGCCATTACTCTTGAGCTTGGGTCCTGGGACTGCAGATTGCTGTGCTTCCGTGCTTCTACAGACTGGAATCTCGTAAGTGCTGACTTCTACTCCCGTTTTGACTTCGGATTGTTTTTGGACGATGACATCACTTTCTGGACTTTATCATCCGCTTCTGGATGTGCTTTGTCTTGGGACTGTTTTTTGACAACGTTTTTGCTTCCTTCCACCTTGTTTCCTTATGCTTATTGAACTCTGTGATTTTGAAGCAGTTTGCTAGAACTTTTTGTTATCCCGGATTATATTCCAGTATAATCCGGATTATCCGCTAAGTTACATCTTTTGCATAGCAGTTGCTGCAGACTTTTAGTTATTGCTAGGAACACTGAGTTAAGTGTTTCTAAGCTATTTTTGTTGTGTTAATAAACTTTGTTTAGACCTTTACTTTGTGTCTGGCTCTTTTAAGGCATCTGGTTCACAACACACTAATATAAAGATTGATAATATATACAGTATACTACATATTGTATATAGTATACCTAAAGTATATGTAATATATATAGTATTTTTATATAAAATATAGGAATTCATTCTGCAATTTGCTACTGTTAGCATTACTGAAATTACACTTACCTTACAATGAATATTGCCACCAACTAAAGAAATATACGCACAGCTTGCTATATCTTACCTATTTCAATATATAAATACATTTGATATATATACATATACACACATATATAACACACACACATATACACACACTATATATAGATACTATATATAGTATACTACATATTGCATATAGTATATATATAGTATATGTAACATACTCTATATATAGTATTTTTATATAAAATAGTAATTTATTCCACAATTTGCTACTGTTTGCATTACTAGAGTGAACATTGCCACCAACTAAAGAAATATACTCACAGCTTGCTATATCTTACCTATTTCAATATGTGTTGACAGGCCGCATGGTATACCGCTTTGGCAAAAAATACAAAGTATAGCCAGAACAGACCAGATCTTGAGAGCTTCCATGCTGTTGATATTCCAGGCTATAAACCATAGTTTGGAAATGCTGTCAATTGGAGAACTACGACCTTTGAAATATGGGCTACAGTGCATTTCTTCATGTCACTGGCACAGATGTTAAAGTTCTCATGTTTGAAATGTCAGACTGCCAGTTTTTTGGTATCGGCAGACAGATTATCTTGCTCCTATAGACAAGAATGAGTCCAGCAGAAACGTAAGACTTTACTTTCCATTTGTAGCTGTGAAATCATGCCTAGAACAAGGAAAAAACAATTATTTTATGCTTTTGGGCAATATTGTAATCAGCTGAAACCTCAGATGGTTCCAGCAACTAAAAGATTGTGCATGTGTTGAGACTTTTCCTCTTTTATGGATTTCTTGGGGTTAAATCCATTGTCTGTGCTAAGCAAAGACAGACACTGTGAGGCAATTAAATGGATGTAGGATACACAAACTGAAGATGACATCTGCCTCCCACCCCAGTAAATCCTGCAAATGAAGCATGATAATTAAACTGCACATGCAGCACTCAGTTATGATTTCATCCCACTGAACATGCAAAGTGTCTGGAAGATAAGGTTTACCATACAGCTCAGGCATAATTTGTTTTGAAACTAAATGGATGATTTTCCTACCTCCATTACACACTAGCAAACTATCAGTTTTATTCAGGAGTTCTCAGTTGATTTTCCATCACATTGTAGAGCAGTGTTTCTCAACCTGGGGGTCGGGACACTTGGGGGGATTGCAAGCGGGGTTTCAACCCTAAAGACCACCAGAAGACACATATTTCTGATGGTTTTAGGAACCCCTTTAGCAGAGAAGGCTGAAGATCTCTCCATCTGTCCTTATCTTCCTTTTTGGAAACAGGCAGCAAATACTCCCACCAAAGGCCTTCCTCTTCCTGTGATTGTAGGTGAACTATAAATTCCAGCAACTACAACTCCCAAATGCCAAGATTTATTTTCCCTGAACTCCATCAGTGTTCACATTTGGGCATATTGAGTATCTGTGCCAAGTTTAGTCCAGATCCATCACTGTTTGAATCCATAGTGCTCTCTGGATGGAGGTGAACTACAACTCTAGAACTCAGGGTCAATGCCCACCAAACCCTTCCAGTGTTGTCTGTTGGTCATAAGAGTGCTGTATGCCAAGTTTGGTTCAATTCCATCATTGGTGGAGTTCAGAATGCTCTTTGATTGTAGGTGAACTATAAATGCCAGCAACTACAACTCCCAAATTACAAAATCAATCCCCTCCCCAACTCTACCAGTATTCAAATTTGGGCATATCGGGTATTTGTGCCAAATTTGGTCCAGTGAATGAAAAGACATCCTGCATATCAGATATTTATATTACGATTCATAACAGTAGCAAAATTACAGTTATGAAGTAGCAACGAAAATAATTTTATGGGTGGGGGTCACCACAACATGGGGAACTGCATTAAGAGGTTGCGGCATTAGGAAGGTTGAGAACCACTTGGAGGTTGTTTCCACCCACTCTCCCTCCTCTCCTGAACTTTAATTTTTGTTCCTGGGTTATAAATGTCATTTCCTAATTGCTTCTATTATAAACGCATGTGAAATGTTTATTAAACTGCAAAAATGTTGTCTTTGAAGGAGGGACATCCTTCTATAGCACATTTTGCTCTAGTTTCTCAATGATTGACTATCTTGTAGATTCTGTTTCTGGTGTCAGAATTGATTTGATATAATCCAAAGCTGAAAACGGCTGCTCACAAGCATAAGATGAGCCAAACAAAGTAAGGCTACTTGTTGACTCCTGGGGACTTGATGGTAAATTGGAAAAAAATGACATGAAGGCCACAATAAGTTTTTGTAATCCTGGGAAAATCAGCGTCTGTGAAGCTACACTGAAGGGCATGGATATGTAATTTCATTGCTGCTGTTATTAGTTACTGTGAAGCTGACTTTGACTTAATGACGACCTTATGAATGAGGGCCTCCAAGTCACCTCTAGAGCCCTACTCAGGTTTTGCAGATGCAGGGCCACGGCTTCCTTGATTGTGTCTATCCACCTGGAAAGTGGTCTTCCTCTTTTCCTTCTTCTACATTACAGGCAGTCCCTGAGTTACAAACATCCAACTTACAAACTATTCATAATTAAGAACAGGAATCTTTTATCTTCCTCTGCCAAAGAGAGCCGATGCCTTACCAAGCTAAAATCCCAGGCTTCCATAGCATTGAGCCATGGCACTGAAAGTGGTGTCAAACTGCATTCATTCCACAGCGTAGATGCACCCATCCTCAACAGTTCCCAATTATACTGTGGGCTAAGGAAAGTCTGGATCTAAAAAAGGGTTACAAAGCTTAGGTGATGCAATACCCATTTATAAAAGCAAACCAGCACCGGCAGAAGTGCCAATTCTATCCTGTTTGATTATACATTTTTAATTGTTCAGGTTTCGAATGCAGATTTTTAATGCAAGCTTTTACAAATGTGAGCTAAAGAGAGTCTGGATCCAAAAGGTTGAAGGGGCTTAGGTGATACATATGGAGAGCATGCCATATCACGCCATTGAAAAAGAAGATGAGCCCTGGCAGTATGAGCTGGATTTTGATAAATGTGGCTTGTTGTGGAAACAAGGATCTGTGATAAAGCTTCGGTGGAGACACCTTTTCCCCAGGATAACTCTTCCAAGAGTGAATTTCCCTTCCTGGGAGAGATTTCTCTCACTTCCTGTTGTCTTACCCCTGTTCTTAACTATGAATCATTTGTAAGTCAGATGTTTGTAACTTCAGGAATGCCTGTATGTATAGACTTGTCCAGAATCCCTGGTCAAGCATGCATGATTAGCAAAACAGAGAGTATAGGGAGAGCAGACAAGCCATTCTCACCAGCAAACCTCAGCATATTAAACATTATAGAATATAGATTTGTATGGTATGATAAATTGGTATGATAAGAAACAAAGATGGCAGGGACCTAACAGAAGCTGAAGAGA